TGTCCTCGGGTGAGGATAAAAAAAAAAAAATAATAAAAAAATAAACGATCACAGGAACGTGAGACTCTCCCTGCCCTATCGCGTGCTTACCCAATTTTGAGAGACATCATCCACGGCATTGTAAAAAGTAAGGCAGACAGATACCTTTGATTAGGCTTTGGGGGAGGGGGGGGCGAGAGAGGGTCGGTTTCTGGGACAGCGACTGTGGAATGGTTGGCTAACTACCCTGCATGGAAAACACCAGAGAGGGCAACTGTTTCTTATTTCTTGAGAGCGATGAAGGCAAAACATGGTGAAAGCAACTTTGTTCAGCGAGGACAGAGACATACCTGCCGGAAAGGGGTGCCGATCACTGAAATAACAAAACGGACATGGGTGGACCGGTGGTGTCCGGACCCACTCGGTCACGCCCTCGCCTCTCACGGCCAAGCCAGGCGCATTGCAGCACGGCCTTGGGCCTCTGCGCCCTCCTCTCCAGCCCTGTGACTCCAGGGGGAGCACAGGATCAAGCGCCCAGGCTGGCTTGTTACTTTGAAGCGTGATGCGTCAGGGTCCTGACAAAGCAAGGAGGGACAGGCAGGTTCCTGGTTTCGGGTGCCCCCCTCGAGAACTCGTGAAGTCATAAAAAGACGGTTACCTGTTCCAGCAGGCATTCTCGTTCATCAGCAAGCTTTTTCAACCTGATGTCTGAAGAAATCAGAAAGACACAGGTTTAGGGGCCTCGGCGGACTGCACCGGGCAGCAGAGGGCTAACTGGAGAGTGAGCGTTCGGGTTAGTGAGACTGATGGTGAAGGTATCACACACGTACCACAGCGAATGAGGCCACACACAGGATGGAGAGCAGTCCAGCCGCGGGAGGTGGAGGTGGTGAACCCCCGGCACATGCTTGTCTCGCCAGGGGCAGCGTCCGGCTGCATGCAAACGGGCTAATCTTCTACTTGGGGTTAGCATGCAAGGGCTCTGGGGCCAAACCACACTGCAACACAAGACCTCACGGGCTTCACGGTTCAACATCATTAGCAAGGTGCAAACCACACGCTGGGCGTTCCCGAGGCACGTCTCCGGCACTGGGTCGGCCCGGACCTTCCGGTGCACACCCAGAGGTGTTTCTCTCCGGGCTCCCCCAAGCGGGAGTTTTGACCGTCTGCTTGCGAATCGGAGTCTGCCAACTACACATGTGCCAGCCCACGTGTCAAATGCTTTTATCCTTTCGAGGAAGAATGCAGTAACAACGAGGTTTCTGTCCTTCCTCCCCGGCTCAGATATAACAGGATGCATACGCACGAGCATCTAGGAATCTCCCTAGACACCTCCCTGAATGCATCCTTCAGCGCAACGGGGATACCGTGGCCTTCGGAGGGTGTAGGGTTTGGGCCAAGCTCTCCGGCTTGAAGGACCAGAACAATGTGAGGGAGAGAGTGAGCCTAGTGCGTGCTGTGCCCTCCCTGCGTCGGGCCACCAGCCTCTTCACCCACGGAGCCCTGTGGGTGGCACTGTTATTATGACTCAAGGCACCAGGCTCAGAACAATTAAGCAGCATTCCCAAGGCCTCGCTGACCAGCCGCAGGGCCGAGACCCTAACCACCTGCTGTCCCAGGGCGAACGCAGACCTCAGAGCTGGCCCAGCGGTCCTGTCCCCGGGGGACTATCGCCCTCACGCTGCCTGGCTTTTGATCAGCCATATGCCATGGGAACAATTCATATAAAAGGAACCTTTTTGTTTTCTTTTAAAAAACCATGTATCCACATTCTCATCATGTTCCCTCCATTTTTCCAAACACCCCAAGTTGTTGTTTTGGAAGGCATGGTAACAAAGTAAACTGAATCAGAAGATGTTAAGTAAAAGGTAACGCCACGGCCCCTTGAGTTCCAGTCTCATTTACATCCGGTCAAACTGCTCGGAGGGGAGCCTCGCTTCCCCTCTAAACCTCCCGGAACTCAAAAACATTTCTGCAGCTATAAACCCAGATCTTTTATTCAACATCACTTTTCACTCCACCTTATCTATTTTATAATCCTATCCACAAATCCATGGGCATCCTAGGAGACCCTGAATATATCAGAAAGTGGTCTGGAAGCTCATTTGTTAAACAATTTTATTATTGTTTTTCTATTAGGAGACTTCAAATACCCTAGAGAGTGAGTTAAAAAAAAAAACCCGCACAAATGTTAACATGTAATAACAGTCCTAGGGAAAAAAATTAAAAATAAGGACACGGTAACCTTTAGCCTCATGGTGGGAATATGACAAAAAGTGGAGCTTTTAAGAAACAGACTTTTTAAAGCAGAATTCAGATGAAAACAAGAGTTTTAAGATAATGAAAATGAAAGAAAATGACCTGACATGAAGACAATGAGTACTGTCTTTTTTGTAGCTTTAAAAACCAACAGTGGGATTTGCAGAGTGAATGGTGCTGTGTCACTGGTATACTTTTAAAATTTTTTTTCTTTATTGATTTGAGAGAGAGAGGAAGAGAGACGAAGGGAGAGGGAGAGAGAGATAGAAACATCGATGAGAGAGAACATCGATTGGCCGCCTCCTGCACGCCCCCACTGGGGATCGGGCCCACAACCTGGGCATGTGCCCTGACCGGGAATCGAACCGACGATCTCTTGGTGCAGGGTCGACGCTCAACCACTGAGCCACACCAGCTGGGTTACTTATTGTGATCTTCACAAGGGCACAGCACACCTATTGCCCCCTGTACTGACCATCACTAACACCCACTTGATAAACCAACTAACTTCCCACGACAGACCTGTGGCTGCAGTTCTCAGAAACAAGACATCAAAGAACATGAAGTCACATGTCTCCCACGGAGGGTTTTCTTTTACATCAGGAAGTGAAAATGAGGTGGGTATTCAAGACATTTTAGTAATTCTGGCAAAGGATTACATTTTTAAAAAATCTGGTGTTTATACTAAACTCAACGACTTTTCTGGTATGCATTTGAGACACCCGTGAGAAGAGAGACAAAAAGCCAAGGCCTGCCCAGCCTGTGTGGCTCCGTGGCTGAGCATCGACCCACGCGCCAGGCCACTGATTGATCCCAGTCGTGGCACATGCCCTGATGCGGGGCGAGCAGGAGGCAGCCGACCAATGTTTCTCTCATCGATGTTTCTAATCTCTCTCTCCCTATCCCTTCTTTTCTCTCTAAAAATCAGTGAACACCTGTCGTCCCCGGGCAGCCCAACAGGGCAGAGCGGGCTCAGCAGCCAGCAACGGCCACACCATCGAGCAATCGCTTTCCGGGGCCGTGCCTGGTTCTAACTCTCTCCACGACTCGAAAAGGCAGGTTCCGACCCCACTTCCAGGGCACAGAAAGGGGCCCAGTGAGTGCAGGCGGCTGGCTGCTAACAACATACTGTCGCTTTTATTCCTGGGCTAATTTCAGGCCCCGCCAAGGGCCTCAGGCCTCCACTCCCCCCGGCAGAGGACAGTCACCTCCTGCCTACACTCGCTAAGTAGGGGAGACTGACACCTCTCAAGAACCCACTAGGGGCCCTGCTGTCCCACTTCCTCCTCACAGGACTGAGTTTGATTATATGGTCAGTTTCACATGGTCAGTTTCATCCTCCCTGGGCCAGGTCCCGGGCCAGGACACCACCTCCTTCCTGTAAAAGGAAAGACAGGGACAGGTTGCTAAAGGTGACTCTTTTTGCTCCTGTTGACAGGGCCCAGGAGGTCTGTGCAGACGGGAACTCTCTACACCAGCCCTGCTGGCCTGTTCCGCTGAACAACGGAAACCTTACTTTGTCTTTGACGTAACAGGGACCGTGGATTGGGTGAAAAGGCTTTTCTCCTGAATGACAGTTTTCTCTACATATGACCATCACACTGAACAGGCACATATGAACACCCACACACACATCCCTCCTTTCCTTCCGGGGCCTGGTTGCTTGGAATGAATCTTACTGTGGCGTTCCCTCGTTTTGATGACCACGGTGGCATGCTGGGGAAGTCGCTCTCCCGGGACAGGAGTCTACGGACAGAAAACAGACATCCCGGACTGTCTAAACCCCCAGAGGGAGCACGGCAGGGTCCTAGTGACGGTGGGATGTGCACGTTCAGGTCGTTAACTGGAAATACTAACGTACAGAAAGCAGGCGATGCAATCCGTCTCATTCCCGAAACCTCAGGACCTTCCCCGCTCCCCGATCGTGTTACCAAATCCCAGCCTCTGACTCCCACCCATCTCAGCTGGCTTCCCCTTTCTCTACATGCAGCCAGGACGATACTTCATTGCATTTTTGAAGGAGATTTACACTGTACATACAGTAGCTCCAGGCTGGTTTGGGGCTGAAAGTAGCCCAGCTTCCTGATTTTAGGTCTTGTGATTGATGTTTTCCTCTGCTCTGTTGCGGTGAAACCGCGGGGGTCTGGGTTCCCCTGGGGACGTGCTAGAGAGGGAAACTTTTGGATTCTTTTCTGAGTCTGAATCTTTTGACACCGAAATCTTTGCAGGTTGTTGGTATACCCCGTGCTTCTTAGCCCTAACAGACCTAGGTGGCTTCCTCGATCATTTAAGGGCCTCCACTGTGAGCATCAATTACTGTGCCAGGCCACACGGTCATTTCACACTCGGGTGTTCACAGTGAAGCCTCGGAGTGTCCGGAAAGGGCGCGGCTGTGCAGAGCCCCTTCTCCTTAGGGGCTCATGTCCTGATTCTCGGCTGTCCACTCCCCCTGCGAGCTGGAGCCCCCCTGCTCGTTCACTGCACCTGCCTGCCCCGTACGAAGCGATGAAACATGTTTACTCATGAAATGAGTGAGCGACTAAGCGAGCCTGCTGGCGGCTGGCCCGAGGCAGGGGAATTAGAGCGTAGTGTCTGAGTGTGCTCCTGAGTAGCAAGGGGGGGGGGGGTGGGGAGAAGGCACAAGGTGTCATGATCTCAGCATTCAGTGACTGTGGCTCCAGAGGCCTGTAGAAGGAAGGAGTTTCCCAGTGAGCACTGCAGCGTGAAAGCAGCTGGCCTGGAGGGGGAGACTCCAGCTAAGACCCTTCAAACTGTGCAGCAAGCCTCAGGGTTTTCTACCCACAGGGCACGAGTAGGCAGGGGCTGACCGCCCCCTCACCCTCCACTCAGGACACTTACGCAGTCGGTCAATGTTTACCTGCTGTTTCCACCACACTCTTCCAAGCTCTAAGTCCCGGCACGTGGAATGGAGATCTTTCTGCACTGGACTCCCCCTCAGACCACGGCTCACAGCAGAGGCCGCAGGGGCAGATGTCCTTGGTCCTCCCCAGACCGGGCAACACCAGCCCGGCCCAGGTGCCGGGAGAGAAGGTGAGTCCCACTGACCAAGGGTGCTCAGCGGGAGTCCCTCACCGGACCCGGACAGGGAGCCACCACGCGGAAGTGGACGGACGCCCGAACACTCGCTGCCAGGGTGACAATCCAAGGAGCCCACAGAGTGGAACCACAGGCTTGTGAAACTAGAGAAATGTCTTTATTTCAATTACATGATGACACGTTTGCCTCAGATGTTACGGAGGTTGTGGTCTCGTTAGCACTCAACGAGATCTTGTAACAGTAATATGAGTCCGTAGAGTCGGGTTAACAGCATTCATAATGTTCATGCCCTTGTGATTTGAACATGGTACAATTATTTTTAAATTGAACTTCACAATTATTTTTTAAAAATGCTTCTTTAGATAGGAAATATATATTTTGTTCAGGAAGATCAAAACAAGAACTCCCCAGAAGGCTAGACGGAGACACAGCAGACAGGCATTTTCACACCAAAACCCAGAAGTGACTCGGCCCCGGAACACACCCCGTCACGGCAGTGCGCACAGACGGCCCCCTTTCCTGTCGCTCTTTTGAAAATGATTAGACAAACAGAAAAAAGTAATTTTAAGGCTAAAAAAATAAATTTTAGAAATGATTCTCCCCACCCTAACATTGTCTAGAAAACGTGATGTCAACCTACGTCGCTTCCAGAAAAAAATGATTAAAAAAACCTTTGTATAAAGTGACTTTGGTCCGTGATTGGCAGGAAGTCAGAATCTACCAAATCAACTGAGGTGTCATGGACCACGAGGTCCAGACCACTGGCTGAGAAAAATTCCTTATACGAGGTAAAGACAAGGAAGTGCTCTCAGGACTTTGAGATCGCCGTTATCCCTAAAATGATGAGTCATTGTCCTAAGGTGCAAATCTCATCACTCAGCCACGAGAGGCTGCTTGGCCATTGATCTCCTTTTTAAATTAAATTAACGTACAGATCAAAAGCAACTATGAAAGCACACGTATGTGAATGAGACACATTCATTTAAATACCAATTATACTCACGATGTGGGGATCTCAGATGCTATTTGGTCACTTCAATGAGATGCTGATAGATTTGGTCAAGAATATCCACTCCCTATCAGCCTAAGGCAGATGGGAACCATGTTTATTTTGATCATAAGCAGAAACATAAACAGTGTACACTATTGTTCGATACTCCCGGAATGCTCTCAGTTAGATCTTAGACTGACCATCAGTGTGTCTCTCTCTCTAACCTGGGGGAGAAAGATGTAAATCTACAAGTAACAGTCTATCACTCAGAGTAGTAGATCATGTGGTAATTGATTGTCGTACGTGTGTGTCACGGGTCTCACCAGCGGAGGGAACGGACAGGAGTCTGTCGCTTGGCCTCACTGCCGTCCTGGGCCCCTCGGACCCCGCCTGACACGCAGGCCCCCGCCTAGGACAAGGTGCAGTCCTCTTTGCTTCTGTCCTTCTCATTTCTGACCTCCGCCTCTGCTTTGCTCTCTGAATGCAAGTCCCCCGACTCTCCTGCAGGTGGCGTGTCATCGTCTTCTAGACTAATGCTATCTAAAACCTTCCTGGCGCCCTGGCTCGGATGCTGGGACATCACACAGCCCTCCGTGCCTTCTGCTTGAGGGGCAGCAGGACCGTCCTCACGGGGCCTTTTGTCTCCGAGCAGGGCACCGCAAGGCACGTCTTCCTTCCCGGGCAGGGCGCTGGGGGCAGCCCCCGTCAGAACTCCTCGCTCTATCCCCTCCACCCCAGCTCTGCAGCCTGAAGCCCCAGCTGCCTCACCTTCCAAGAGCACCGGCTCCCCAGCGGCCGCCCCCCGCCCCGCCTCCGCGCTGACGTCACCGCCCTCCCGGTCAAGTTTTCCATCCGACTCCATCCCGGGGTCCTCTGAAGAGCCCGGGTGTCCACTGCCTCCCGCCACAATGTTCGGTTTGGGATTTCCGACCTCGTTTTGTGTTTCTGCACCTGACTTTTCATCAGCAGAGGTTACCTGCGTAACTTCGCTCAGATCTGGGGTCGGAAATGTTAGCTCTTTCTGCACCTCTTTCCGGGGTTCTACAGGTGACCTTTTCTTCCTGTTTTTCTTTTTCTTATTTTTTGTCTTCTTCTGTGATGCGTCCAGTCCCTCTTCCTGTCGGTCGTTCCTGTCTTCACTGGGTTCTTTCCCATCTAGGGGTTCACTCCTGGCATCGACCGTATCTGGCCCTGTTGCTTCCTGAGCCCTGGGTGCTGGAGAAGAGGGACTGGCGGGGACGTCTGCCTGGGCTGCTGTCTCCTTCCCAAATCCCTGCCCCTCAACTTCCTCTTCAGTGCTCTGCCCCCCTGCTCCTGTGCCCTGCGCTGGCAGTGCCCTGGGCTCGGAGACTGCCTGGCTGGCCAGCTCTTCCTCCAAGCCATGCCCCGCGCTTGGGTCCGGCCCTTTGGGGACGTCTCCTGCGTACCTGTCATCATGACTCACTGTGTCATCGCCATACCTTGGAGGACTGGAGGCCTCCATGCCCTCCAGCTGCCCCTGTCCAGCTGGCCCTGCCCCCCCTGCGCCCTGGGTGCCGCTCACCCGGTCAGGCTCAGACGGCTGCAAAGGGGCAGATTCCTGCCGTGGATCTGCGCTAACTTCTCCCGAACGGGGTTGGCCATCTTGCTCTTCTTGTTCCTGTTTCTCTGCAGCTTCTTCACTTTGGTTTTGAATATCCAAGGCATTCGGGCTGCCCTGCCCAGTCACAGGACCCGGGATGTCACCGTCTAGGTCACTCAAACATTTAGACTGTTCGAGGGCAGCCCCAGTCCTAGCACCTGGGGCGCCTGTGGCCTCACCGGCCCCCACCTGCTCTGTGTGTTCAAGGGAGGGTGCGCTCTCTAGCATGTGGCTTTGACCCCCGTCCTCATTTGGAGCTAATGTTCCTAGGGAGGGGGCACTGTCTTCAGAGGCTCTTGGGTCCTCGGCACTGTCGCCAGGCAGGGGGTCCTCTTTCTGCTGTTCCTGCTCAGTATTCTGCCCGATTTCTCTTTTCCCCACATTCTCCACAATTTCATCTTCCACCTCCACTGCCGTGGCTTCTCCTAGAAGACCATTGAGAGAATTGAAGGGACCCCCATGATGTGGCAACCACGTCAGATACCTGACAAGGTAACGAGGTTCTCCTTCCCACCAGCCCCATTCGGAGAGGGAGTCAGCTGCTGCCAGGTCTGTGCCCCAAAGCAGCTGCCGTGCCAGCGCCAGCGACAGCCACCGCCGCCACCTGGTGCCATCGCGGTGCACTGACTTTCAGAGGTGACGTTTCAACCACTAGAAAGAGCTGTGGATCAGGCCGCCGAGCAACCCAAATGACGGGTTTAAGAAGGACGTGCTCCCCATTCTCACGCCAAGCGCGTCTGACAACTCACCCGTTTCAGCCGTCAAGCTGCACGGCGGGCCACGCGGCCCGAAAGGCGGCTGTCCGATCATTTCAAAAGGGACAGGGCGTTTATCTTAAGGAACTCAGCCTCAAGGTCAGTCTCAAGGAAGATGCTTTTGCCATAACTCCGACAAGGGAGAAGAAAGCCCACCCTCCTGACCTGATTCCCTGTCCTGAGAAAGCAGCCCCTGCCCTCAACACCTTCGCCCCAACCCTGTGGGCAGGGGGTCCCGGCGGGAGGCAGACCCTTACATCGCAGTGACCACTTACTAAATAACAGACAACCCATCAATCAAAAAGTGATGAGTTAACAAACACGTCACTGCTTTGGAATGAATGTTCTGGATCCTCCAAACAAGACTGCGGCATCTAAGCTAGCATGCTGCCGAAGGTCAGAGATTGATCATTTCGTGACCCAGGGTCTCCACGGGGGTGCGCTTACCCCGGGAAAGCGGGGGACAGCTACTCAGGGCCAGTTTTGCTTCACACTTCAAAAACTTCTATGAGTGCATGTTTTCTAGTGTACATTTTATGTCCATAACTATTATATCTGTAACTATTATATACATATATAAATAAAAAATCAACATGCCTGTTGAGAGGTCCTCACAGTTCCAGATGAAACTACATCTGGAGACCACTTATAAAACTGATACTTCCGGTTCTTTCAGCGTCTGTTTCACAACAATTGTCAAAACACAAAACGTATATCCGAACAGAGCAGCATGATCCAATCCCTAGCTGCTCTGCTACTACAAGGGCATGACAGCCACGGGCCAATGCTCTTCTCTCGGCCTCTGACCCCGTTAAAGAGCTGCGTATTCCCTCGGGGTCAGGGAGAGTGAGGTCCACCCGCGAAGCACGCCCCGAGGCTCCTGCATTTCCGTAACTCGCGGGAAGTGAGCCAGGCCTCCAGACGGAAAGCAAAACCGTGCCTGACCTCACTGGTGCTCGCTGGGAAGCGGGGCCACACAGGTGACCATGACTCTGAGGCTTATCCCCAGGCAAACATTACGACAAGTACGAATTGGTGAGCCTTTCCGGGGGTCCTTCAATCGACTGGAACCCCCGACTTCTATTCTTTCAGAAGCAAAAATGTGCCATGCATGGAGACATCCCCTGACCGGGGGCAGACCACCCAGACTCTGCAGTAAAGAACGTCCCACATGGACCATACTGGGCACCGGGGCCGCCCGCCCTCTCCCTGGGCACCTGGGCCGCCCGCCCTCTCCCTGGGCACCGGGGCCGCCTGCCCTCTCCCTGGGCACCGGGGCCGCCCGCCCTCTCCTGGGCACCGGGGCCGCCCGCCCTCTCCCTGGACACCTGGGCCGCCCGCCCTCTCCCTGGGCACCTGGGCCGCCCGCCCTCTCCCTGGGCACCTGGGCCACCCGCCCTCTCCCTGGGCACCTGGGCCACCCGCCCTCTCCCTGGGCAGCAGGGTGGCCCATCCACCCAAGGCTACACTGAGTGTCAACCGAGACGTGCTCTGTCTCAGGTCCACCTCCTGTCCACCCGCCTCAAAGCTCTCACAGGATGTCACGTTGGCTTGTCAATGTGGTCACTGACTTAATCCACAGCCTCTGCCAGTCTGACCTTTTGACAGTTCTGTGACATACTCGGCACAGGTCTGAGGGAAACCAAGTAGCACTGTCAAAACCGTCCCTCGACTTGGAGACTATTTTCAGTCTCCCGTGGTAGCTCTGTGAAGAAGAGACATGCCCTGAGCCACAGGTGGTGAGCACGCATCAGAGGTGCTGGCCAGATGACACGCGTGGGTGACCATCGTGTGGCACGAACACTCCACGAGGAGGCACAGCAAATGGCAGGCATGCGGCGTGGCGGTTAGTGGGTCAGTGATGACTGCTTCCACGCTAGTAATGCATGGGAGATGAATCAGTGCCGGCTGGGAGGTGACAGGGTCCAAAGGAACAGGAGGACTTACCTAGGGTCCCGTCCCCAGTCACCTTGAGGGCATTCAACTCTTCTTTTGTCGTCTTGGTAGGACCCTGGTATGCAACGTTATTTAGAGTGTCTGGAGCCTCTCCGTTGGTAGTTGCCTCTGAATGTAGGATTATTCCATGTTTCTGGGAATTAAAAACAGGCCCACTGTAACACTCGCTGAGTGACGGCAGGCTCAGCTCCACTTTATGAGTAATAATTTCAAAAGAAGCTGTTTTTCCTGATGCAGAGGGAAATTCTACAGAGCTGAGAAGAGCTAGGCACCACCCTTGTGACTGTTCTATCCACACACACGCGTGCAGACGCTCCGGCAAGGGCTGGTCCGTCCGCAGGATGCCACACGTCCCGCTGTGCCGTGACCGGGCACTTTCGGCAGGAGGTGGCGCCTGCAGGCTGCCACCGCGGGAAGCATCGGGCAAGTCGCCGCAAAGTGACCTTCACTTTCAAAGCCCTGGTTGTTTTCCTTAGAAAGAAGTACAGAGCCCGGCCGGTGTGGCTCTGTGGTTGAGCATCGACCCTGCACCAAGAGGTCGCCAGTTCAATTCCATTCCAGGTCAGGGCACATGCCCAGGTTGTGGGCCAGATCCCCAGAGGGGGGCATGCAGGAGGCGGCCAATTGATGTTCTCTCTCATTGATGTTTTTGTCTCTCTCTCTCTCCATTCCCCTCTCTAACGTCAATAAAAATAAATAAATAAAAAGAGGTACAGAGGAAAAGAAAGAAATAGGTATGTGTTCTGAAAAGCATGGATGGAACTTACGTTAAGGAAGGGATTAGGAAGTGGCTAGAAGGTTTGGTACATTCAACTCGCCCTGGCTGGTGTGGCTCAGTTGGCTGGAGCGTCGTCCAGTACCCCAAAAAAAGGTGGCGGGTTCGATCCCCGGTCAGGGCACATACCCCGGTTGTAGGTGTGTATGGGAGGCAATTGATCAATATTTCTCTCTCAAATCGCTGTTTCTCTCTCTCTCTCGCCCTTCCTCTCCCTCTAAAAACAATAACAGAAAAAGAACTGTGCTCCCACTCACTCCATAGCGAAGTACTTTAAAGACAGCTGTCCTCACGACTCCGGGACCCTACTTGACCATGGGCGACTCACTCACTCACAGCCCTCTCTGTCCAGCTCCCTCTCTCGTGCCGGGAGGGACCCCAACACTGCACTCAGCCTGGGGCTGGCAGTCTGCCGAACCCGGGCTCCAAGCTGCTCCCTCTGGTTCACGGCTCTGGATACAAGTGGCCACACTGATACGTCTCCGTTAACTACCCAGGAATGTGCCCACGGCCACGCTGTCTCCACGCCGCCTCCCCAGGGCTCACAGTCCGCCCAGAGCTCTGGCCTCACCGCTGTGAGCGGCGTCTTTTCGCTCGGTGACCAGCCAGGGCGAGGACCACTGGACACGGCCCAGACAGAACAGGACTGTGCTACATCCAGTGTCTCAAAGTGTAAATAGCACTGTTCAGCTGGAGAAGTCTGGACAGCTGAGCCTTCACTGTAACAGACAAATGCAGTCTCTAACTTTGAGTAGCGTCCTGGAGAATTTATTAATGAGCATGGAAAAAATGGAGACAGTATATCGATGAATTCTTGGAAATCTGAGATGCTTGCCAGCTCAGATACGCGTGTGAGCACCTAGCCATGGGAAGACCCAGCGGGACCTGGACCTGCTTTGCAGGGCTCTTCGGTGTCAGCCAAGCCCAGATTTGAGCAGACTAAGAGAACTAAAATCAAGGACATAAAAGGCGTTAACACCAGCACACACACACTCCCTCCTGAGAACCCCAGAATTCGCCGCTGTCCCCGGGATTCTCTCTTTGAACTGTTTCCTTGGCTTCATACCTTTAGTTCCTCTTTCAGCACGACTACTTCTTCTCTAAGATCATCCCGTTCACTCCTGATGGAATCAAAGAACTCTTTCTGCCTCTCTAAGGCCTGAGTGTGCAGCGGAGCAGGGAGAGAAATGGGCAGAGGTCAGCAGTGTCGTCGGAAGCAGAGGGGGGAGGAGGCCACACCCTGCCACACGCCGACAGGCCAGGCGTCCGGTAGCACATGCCTCGGGACACAAGTGCAATGCCAGTAACGCACCGTCCTGCAGCTGGGAACAGCCGAGGATGCTGCTGCCTTCTCCCGAGAGGCAGGAGCCGCAGGGGCACAGGCGGGCTCGGCTGGCAGCGGCCCCAGCTGAGCCCGGTGTCCAGCCGGGTCAGAGAACTCGCAGAGGCCACGTGCCCTCAGATGAGGGGCAAACACGGAATGAGAAGAAACACCGGAGAAGCCTCAGCGAACACTATCTTAGCAATTTGGACTAACTTTCCACCTGGGTTCTCGGCGACTGTTGGCACAGGTAAGCACGAAGTGGTCCCAAAACACACACACGTGCACACACACACGTGCACACACACACACACGTGCACACACACACGTGCACACACGGAATTCTGAGCAGACACGAGGAGCTCATCAGAGTCAGGGCAAGGACAGCGTCACACTAGCAACACTCTGATGACATGCTGGAGCATCTGGGGACCGTCCCCAGAGCGGTGTGGTGTGACCGGTCACTAGACCCGGATGCCACGGTCAGGAAGCACAGCAGTTACTGTCAGTGGTTCCCTTCTTCCCCCTCATCACGCCCACAGGCAGGTGGGCTGCCTGTTCTGTTCTTAGGGAGGGAGAGGGTCTCAGGACTCTGGAGAGATTTCAAGCTGGAGGGAGGGGGGCACAGCCCTTGCCGGCTCGCAGCTTCCTCGAACCCCTTGAGAAAAAGCCCCGACAAGGGGGGCAGGCAATGCACACGTTAGGGCTGCCCGAGTGCCGCCCCCAGGGAGTGTCTCGGTCAGCCCCTGGCTGCTCAGGGGGCAGGCAGAGCCCGGCTCATGCTGACAAAACGAGACTCTCCAAGTTGGGAGCCGACTGCCAATTTGGAGTTACTTCCAAGTCGGGTACGTTCGAGTACTCGCTGCGTGACGGAGTTTGCTCACAGGGGACCATGCACACCCGTCCGAGCACACCGCAGATCCTGAAAGCAGCACACAGGCCAGGCAGACGGCTCACGGGAACAGGCTCGCGGGGACTCGAGAGGCCTACCCCTATCTTTTTGTCTTTCCACTCTATCGTTTCCTGCAGATCAGAAATCTCCCTGACAGAACTCGCCTGCTTCTGCTGCAGCTGGCGGATTTCCTGAAGGACAGGAGCAGAGAGAGCAGAGGGAGGGTTAGACAGGAGGAAGGACCAGGCAGACCTGCGGGGAGCTGTCACTGGGAGCCGGCAAGCACGGGGAGGGGGTGAAGCACCTGCTCACTGACCCCCCGCTCATCCCCGAAGGTGAACGTCGTGCTGGGTCCTGCTCCCCAGCACCCAGAAGTGCGGGAAGAAACCCGTCTTGGGGAAGTTCTCACTGAGAGGCATGTAAATGCTGACCAAGTTAGAAGGCAAAATCAGCCCGGCCGGTGTGGCTCAGTGGATTGAGCGTCGTCCCATGGACTGAGGTCCCGGTTTGATTCCCGGTCAGGGCACAGGCCCGGGTTGTGGGCCAAATCCCCAGTGGGGGGCGTGCAGGAGGCAGTCGATCGATGTTCTCTTTCACATCGATGTTTCTATCTCTCTCTCTAAAACCACTAAAGAAAAAGTATATACATATTTAAAAAAGGCAAAATCAGCCCTGTATGTCCCCTATTGCCACTGTACTGAATTAGCACAAATTCGGTGGCTTCAAGTAACACGAATGTATTCCAACAGTGCCGCGGCCCCAAATGGCCCACTGGGCGGAGCTCCAGAGGTGGGCAGGCCTGGGAGGCTCCAGGGGAGAGTCCGTCTCCCCTTCTTTGAGCTTCCAGAAGCACCAATTCCTTGGCTCACAGCCCCTCACGTCACCCCCTACTTTTGCCTCTGCCTTTCCTGCCCCCCTGCTGTCAGGACCCTGTGCCGCACCCGGCCCGCCTCGAAAACCCAGGGTCGTCTCCCCCCACAAGGTCCCTTCGGCGTGGAAGGGAATATTTTCACAGGTCCCGGGATCAGGACGCGGACATTGCTGTGTCTGCCCCACCTCCCCAAACACGCACACAACCACCCAGGAAGGGGCGTTGTCACCAACGAGAGCAACGGGACACCTGCAGCGAGGTGCAAGAACTGGCCGAGCCCTGGATCTTCCGGAAAACCCGCGGCCCCGAAGTCGCGGGGGAGGCGGGAGGGGCGCAGGCACCCACCTGGAGCAGCTCCTCCCTCTGCTGCAGCGCCGCCTTCACCTCTGAGAACTGGAACCGCAGCAGGCCGTGGGCGTGCTTCTCCCGCTCGAACTCCTGCGGACAGACGGACAGACGGGCAGAGCGTCAGGGCGGCGCAGCTCCCCCGGCGCCCACGACCTGTGACCACACCGCGCAGGGGCCCGGGCCTTTCTACCACCACGAGCGCATTTCCCTGGGCCTTTCTAGAAGCCGCCTGCGGCTTGCGGGGAATCGGAGTTGATGGCACGGACAGCGTTCCCGGGCCCCTCTGGACGGGCCATGTCCGGAAGGGTCTCCGTCAGGGTGTCTGCTGTCGTCCACGGAGCTGGCTGTGCTGAGGGCCCGAGCGAGGACACAGCTTGGCAAAGGATTTATACTAAAATTATCCCTGATGTTGAAACATGACAAGGAACGCCTTTTGGGATAAAAAGGGACTAAACAGGTTGACTTTGGCAGCCTATCTCGTGGACCGTGGCTGGCCGACTCTGCACTCCAGGGACAAGGCGGGAAAGGTGGGGGCAGCGGAAGTGCTTGGCCGCCCCCTAGTTGCACCGCCCCCTCTGTGAGACTCACCCCAGAGACCTGGCAACATGGCTCTCTGGTCTCCTGCTCGATTCATCACAGCGGGGCTGTCCCCAGTGATGGTCTGGCGCTCAACTAACTGCCAACAGCTCCGGGGACAGCAGGGGCCACCTTCCCTCGATCTGGGAGCTGGCTTATTGCAGAAGGGATTCGACCTTGGTTTCCGCTCACCCACTTTTGAAGTCTGGGGTGATGGGTCCCCTCCTAGCTGTGACAGGATGGGACTCTGGGACTTCGCTCGGCCTGTGGTCTCCTCCTCGGGGCAGCTTCTCTGGGTGGGGCGGGGTCTTTGCTCTCCCTGGTGCCCGAGTGAGTACTAGAACGCACTACAGTGCCCTGGCCACCCGGCAGGGTCAGCGCACGCTCTCCGCTTCTCCATTCACTGCACCGTGCCAGGTTTTTTTGTTTTTTAAGGATAATGATACTCATAAATTAAATTTTCTGTTTATTTCAGCAAATTTGAAAAATTGGACAATAATCCAGGGTTTGCTTAACCAACTCATTCCTGAAAACACAGAACGCAAGGCTTCCTCGTTCTGTACGTCATGAAGACCAGGAGAGCCCAGCCGCCACTGGACCAGTCTGCTGTCCGGAGCTGGACGTACGCCCGGGCTGCATGCTGTAAACTAGCACGCTAACCCCCATGCTTCCTCCCGGAAGCCCAAATAAGATTCCACCCTTCTTTGACCTTAATGGAAATATTTAATTCTTTTTTAAAAAATTTTTTTAATTGATTTTAGAGAGAGTGGAAGGGAAAGGGAGAGACAGATAGAAACATTGATGAGAGAGAACACTGACTGGCCGCCTCCTGCACGCCCCCCACTGGGGATCGGGCCCACAACCTGGGCATGTGCCCTGACTGGGAATCGAACTGGCGACCTCTTGGTGCAGGGGGATGTTCAACCACTGAGCCACACTGGCCAGGCGAATATTTAATTCTTAAATGGAGTGACTGTGTCTCTTCCCAATCAGCAGAAAATAAATGAACATAATTTCCTTAAACTCTTTGACACCTGCAACCGACTACCTCTCCGTGGTGTTCGGAGATGACAAATAAAAACCAGGGACATGTACTGACAGGGATCCTGAGGCACCCAGTCACTCCTTAGCCAAGCTGGCTGGCTCCTCTGGAGGGATCTTTGCTCCACGTATGACTCTGCCTTACATGGAACACACAAATGTTCTAGTAAAATCATCTCTAGTTGACCTACTGAAATGGGCATGTGTGTATTTAAGTCTTTCAGCAAAGGGCATGGTATTCTTCTCAGATGCTTGGGCTCCCTAGACAAGTGTAGAATAGTTGCTTAAAACACACACACGCACACTGCCCTTGCCGGTGTGGCTCAGTGGTTGAGTGTGTCCCATGCACCAAGAGGTCGCCAGTTTGATTCCCAGTCAGGGCACATGCCTGGGTTGTGAGCTCAATCCCCAGTAGGGGGCATGCAGGAGGTGGCCAATCAATGTTTCTCTCTCATCAATGTTTCTCTCTCTCCCATCCTCTCTCTCTAAAAAAATCAATGAAAAACATGTATTAAAAAATAAAATTAAAACACACTGGCATTGATAACAAAAAAAATTTTTATTTTTAAGAAAAGCTCAGACCACCGTGGGTGGTTTGGTTCAGCGGTTAGAGCATCGGCCCGCAGACCGGAGAGTTCCGAGTTCAGTTCCCGCTAAGGGCATGTACCTCAGTTGCAGTTTGTCCCCGGCCCCATAGGGTTGTGTGGGTGGCAGCCAGTCGATGTTTCTCTCTCTCTTCCTCCCTCTCTCCTTCCCACTCTGTCTGAAGATAAATGCAGAAATGTCCTCGGGCAAGGGTTAAAAAAAATAAAATTATATAAAATTTAAAAAAAATTAAAAAGCTCAGACTTTTATGGAACCTGGAAAACACACACCCACACCAACACACCAGGTGTGTACATACCATCTACAAATACAGTGGAACCTCGGTTCTCGAACTTCATTCCTCCGGGAAGGCTGTTCGAGAAGCAATCTGTGCGTAAACCGAATCGATCACTTGTTCCCATTAAAAACCATGTAAGTTGACGCCCTGGCCGGTTTGGCTCAACGGTTGGAGCGTCGGCCTGCGGTACAGAGAGACCCGGGTTCGGTTCCCGCTAAGGGCACGTACCTCGGTTGCAGTTTGTCCCCAGCCCTGGTTGGTCGTGCGGGTGGCAGCCACTCGATGTGTCCCTTCATATCGATGTTTCTCTCTCTCTCTCTCTCTCCCTCCCGCTCTATCTGAACAAAAAATAGAAAAATGTCCTCAGGTGAGGATAAAAAACAAAACAAAACAACCATGTAAGTTGAAAGCATCTGTTCCAGACCCTCACATGATTCCGTTTTCACCTTTCTTATATACAGTACACGTCGAATACCCGGTCTACGCTATACAGAAACACTTCTCTTAAATTTATCAGACCACCCCCTACTGGCCTTACACGAGTGTCTCCTGTGTCCCTGCCTCCGAAACGCGCTCCCCGGCCAAAAGCTCCTCCTTCACCCAGATCAACCGCCGCTCTCAGCCTCTTCGGGGCCTGCGGCCCGGGAGCACTTGCACACCCTCAGCAACGTCCGCTCTCGATGCTGCAGATCGTGCGGTCTCCCATCTCACCACACCCAGAGCCTTCCCTCCTCTGCTGCCTCAGCACGGAGGGCTGTCGGCTGAGAAGCGAAGTGCTGCTCCACAGCTGAGACCTTTGTCCCGCGAACAACGAGGCCGAGAGACGCTGAGAGGCAGTGTGCCCGCACACGTCCCCACGCGCCGTCCCCGCTCCCCCACGCGAACGCGTACCTTGCTTTTCTCCTCGTACAGGCGCCTGGACTCGGCCAGCTGTTCCTCGAGGTCCAGCAGCGTGTCCTTCAGGGTGTCCACCTGGTACATGTAGTTCATCTTCTCGTTGTCCAGCTGCGCGTTGGAGACCATGGCCTTTTTGTATTTCTCCTCCACCTCTGCGAGCGAGTCCTGCGGGACCAGGTCACACTTTAGAAATCGCAGTAAGAAAACAGGGAGCAAGGCTTCGCCCGGATTCTTAAACACACAGCCACTCGGCCCTACGCCGAGACTCTGTTTCGTAGAAACGGATGAAAGCAGGAAACACATGCCAATATTTTAAACACACAGAGATTCCTTCTTTTCAACCTGGTCGAATTCTCGCCACCCGGGATGGAAAGGGTTTAGGCCCAGGAGGAGGCAGCCGCCCCGTGCGGAGGGTCTGGTCACAGGCGGTCGGGGCTTGACCTGAGGATTCAGTAGCCACCAGGAGTGGTTCAGGCGGTTCAACAGGTTTCTGAGTAGTCACTCCAGATGCGTGACCAGAACTGGGGACAGGCCAGCGTGACGGCCGAGGCAGAGCCCTGCCGTGAGCGGCCAGAGATCCGTCTGGGCCTCTGAGCCAGGAAAGGGTTAAGTGGAATTTCAGGTTCTCAACCCACAGGGAAACTAAACAAGGCACACGGGCCTCAGAGGGTGGGCCCTGGAAAGACCAAGGTCATCCCTTTGGGAGGACCGAAAAGGGAAAGAGGCCTGGGAAGTCCACATGCCCCTCGCGTGGCTCCTGCCCTCGAGGGGCAGGGCAGGCGGCAGAGAGCACAGCCGCGTTCAGACCCCAGGACAGATGGGGAGGTGACTCCGTAGCGAGAGCCAAGTCCCGGGGTAACCCACCCCCAGCTAACGAGGGGCGGGCATGGCCTGGGCAGGTGTCTCAGGTGCTGTGGGAGGCCTCCCGGGGACCCGCAAGGGTCTCACCTGTAAACCAGGGTGACAGTTTTGGGTATGACCAGTGATCCCTGGGCTACCCCACCAGCGACCTTATCACAAGAATTAAAAACCAGGGTCTCAATTTCCTCCCCTTTTAAAATGAGGTAACACATATGAAAGTGATTAGTCATGCGATTTGCCACCTGCTCGGGTGTCCCTGTGCTACTGAACTCAGACTATTTCAGGGGTACGTTCTAGGGAGCTGGGGACATGGCATGTTTACCGCCTATTGCCAGGTCCTCAGTCTGCCTGGCCACCTCACAAAGACAGAGCCTCGCCCCTGCGGTTCGCCGCCCCCCAAGGATTGGGGCTGGATGTCCTGGCTAGTGCAGGGCAGGGCTTCCACATCCTGACAGTGGGGTGCGTGCACCCCAACAGACCCAGCACCAGGCACATTGAGATGCTGCTCCAATTAGTACAATGTTACAACATGCAAATAAAGGACTCGGTGCCTGGAGACTGTGCTGTCTGTTCCCGGAGATGGCAGGCACGGGCGATGCCAACGGAGTGAGGCACTGTGGGCATGTAACTGCTACGGGGCTACGGAAACAAAAACCCTCCTTGGAGCTTCGGTAGCTCCTGAATTTCAGCGGGAGGGAGGCTGCGTGCGTCAGAAAACGTGTTAAAGCTTTTTCTTGAAAGGTTGCACCGTACACACACCATGCAGCTCCCCCTGTCGGAACCTGGGGTGTCTGCTGGGTTAGCGTGCACTCTGACTGTCTCCTGGAGGACTTATCGGGTGAGCTGGGTTAATGCCGTGCGCCCACACTGCACACTGGTACCTTCAGCTCTTTCAGCCCCTGCATGTATTTGCCTTCCACATCCTGAATCTGGTCCTTGAGCTCACTGAGTTCCTGGGGGACGGCAAGAAAGGGAGGCGATGTCAAGGGAACGTGGCCAGACCACAGACCGGCCGTCCCGGGGTCCTGCGTCGGCGCGGCCTCCCTTCAGTCCGAGCACGGACTTCCTTCCTCTTTTGACAAGTGTGCGAGAGAAATGAAAGGAAGTTCCATGTTACTAGGATGAAAATGCAGGTGCATCTCGTGACATTTTCACAGGATTGTACAAAACTGAGGTCTAGCTCGTAGGATATTTTCGCACAGTTTCCCCAAACAGGCAGAAGCGCTTCAGAGACTGGAACAAGACGTTTTACTCACGGTTACAGGTTCATTCAAGCCCTGAGTTTACTCTGAGCTGGATACAGTACGACACGAGAGACAGAAGCCAGCAGAGCTGGGCCCTGCACCCCGCAGCTCTGGGCCTCGCTCTGCCCGTCCCTTCACCGCCACATCCCTGGTGCTTGGCATCGGCGGAGCCAGACGCACCTGGAACGCGGCTGAGCACGTGACTCGTGCTCACACCCAGGAGCTGAGGCAAACCCGGATGACAGCCAACAGCGTCGATGGAGTAAAGGAACAAACAGAGCTGCAGGTGGTCCAGGGATGGCACACGGGATGTTTTAAGAAGAATAGTAAAAAAATGTTCTCATCACCCTGGCCGGTTTGGCTCAGCGGTTGGAGCGTCCGCCTGCGGTCCGGAGAGACCTGGGTTCGGTTCCCGCTAAGGGCACGTACCTCGGTTGCAGTTTGTCCCTGGCCCTGGTTGGTCGTGCGGGTGGCAGCCACTCGATGTGTCCCTTTCACATCGATGTTTCTCTCTCTCTCTCTCTGTTCCTCGCTCTCCCTCCTGCTCTATCTGAACAAAAAATGGAAAATATCCTCGGGTGAGGATAAAAAAAAAAAAAAGTTCTCATCAAGCACAGGTGTCAGATGGCACCTTCAAGGGAACCTGGTCCACCCCTGCTGATGCTTATATCTCTTCTCGGGCCTCCCTGGCAAATGGGCCCCCAGCTGCGCACAGCACCTGTGGCAGCTGGTTCTCTTTTAACCCACTTCAATGATTAGAAAGCGCTTCCATACATGAGGCCAAATCAGATCCTTGAAGCGCCTCCCTCTGCTCCCCGGAGGACCCACCTTCTAGCATCTTAACCTTCCTTTCGTGTGTTCTCCTTTTGATACAGTTTCTTTAACCAATGTTGCATTTCTGTCTCACACCAACAGTGCTGAGACTGTAACCAAAATAGTGTCCACATTCTAGCAGGAGAAGGACAAATCACTCCACACCACAGTGAGGTCTATGCAGGTATGTGACAGAGAGAAGGAATGGACAGAGGTGTGCAGAAGGCAGGGGACAGAGTGCCCACGCGCCTCTGTGTGGCATGGTGAGTGTTGGCACAGGTGTGCAGGGGGCCAGGTGCAGGTGTGCCCCAGAGCTGAGGGGGTGCAGGGGCCTGGGCACAGGTGTGCCCCAGAGCTGAGGGGGTGCAGGGGCCTGGGCACAGGTGTGCCCCAGAGCTGAGGGGGTGCAGGGGCCTGGGCACAGGTGTGCCCTGCTATGGCAGGGCAGTCAGGGACGGTGTTCTGCGGGAGACCATATCTGAACTGGGTTTTGGTGTTACTAGAACACCTGTTTATGGGAGCCAGGGGAGATGGGCCCGAGAAGAAAGATCTGGCACTTTAGGAATTAAATCTGTTTTTTCCTTGAAGACAGGTTTTAATAAAGGGTTATAGAAGGCAGAGAGCGTTACCTTGATTTCCCTAATGGATGCTTCGGTGTCGATGGAGATGGAGGTGTCCCCGCTTCCCCTCCGAGAGGAGGTGCCACCCAGTGAGGCCAGCGTGGCTGCAGACAGGCCGGGCAGGTTACGAGACCCCTAGAGTGTGGCAAGGGTCAAACACCAGTTTAGAGAAAACCAGTTACTTGAACATCTGCTACAACGGCCCCTTCGCTTGGACTCAGTTTCCCACGGAGCGCCTTCCGTGGGCTCGCGGAGAGCGATAAGGACAGGGTCACGTGGAGGGGCCCGGGGTGCCTGGGAACCTGTCTGGGCTCATCTTACGCCCACGGCTGGGCCACGGCCAACTCCTTCACTGTTCTGAGGGTTTAACACACCTTGGAAGCGACCCCGGGGACCCCCAAAGGTTGTGACGCTGGCTGGTGGGCCACACACTGTCCTGTTCACTCACTGGTGAAGGTTGTGACCAAGGACCAAGCAGCGTACTTTGTTAGTTCCACCCATAAATGCTGGGACCCTCGGGTTTGTCAGGGACAAGACAGTCTTGTAGAAATCCCTCACCTTCTCTGTGAAGTCTTTCTCTGGTCTCTCTTCCACCTGGAGGGAAAACACACGGGCATTAAAGACAAGCATTTGCTGGGCGATCTGGACGCGGGGGTGAGAGGACTGTCAGATGACCCAGCTGGGTCGTTCGCAGTTTCAAAGCACTCTGCCGAGACCCTCCCGTGCACCTCGCCAGGCGGGCGGCCAGGCTTCCGCTGCCACCCTTCCCACGGCAACGTAAAGACGCCGGAACCCACACCGACCACAGACAGGCCCACCGTGGGGACTCCCTCGTGGGCTCATTTGGACAGGTTCACTCTCGATCCTGCAGCTCTGAACGAGGCCCGTCCGCACGCCGGAGGGGCCCCGCGCTCCACACCTGTCACCCTCCGCAACGACTGTGAGCGCAGCGAGGACCACGGTCCTGGGGCTGGCGGGTGCGACCACAGGACTGCTCCCCACAAGAAAGCAGCGAGCGAATGGGGAGCTTTCCTACTTCTCACCAGTGACTGGGTCCGTGTGAACCTTCAATCGCCTGCGGACGAGGGCCATGGGAGGCTGGGGCGGGGGCTGAAGGCACAGGAGACTTTTCTGGGTGAAAAGTGGGACCCCAAGCATTTGGCTTCTCTCCTCTCTGCTGTTTGGAGGAGTCTGAGGCCCGTCTCCTCCCTTCGGCAGGTGGGAGTCTCGGAGGGACCCAGAGCAGCCAGGAAGCTGCAAGAACGGTGACCCACGGCACCGCGCCCACGAGGGGTCTGAGCACGGGCCACACCGGCAGCGGCGCTTCTTCCTTCTCTGCTCAGCGTCCGGCAAAGACAGCTCCTTTCCCTTTCCCCTCCCCTTCCCTCCCCTCCCCTCCCCTCCCCTTCCCTCCCCTCCCCCCCCCCTCTTCGGTACATTGAAGGCTCCTCTCCACAGCCCATTGGGAAGGTCACAGAGGAGGAGAATGCCTTGCACTCAGCTGTCTCCAGTCTCCGGGGAGGCCGGCACCCATCGCGCCTTCCCGTCGGGGCTCCAGTCTCTCCGGGGAGGCCGGCACCCATCGCGCTTTCCGTCGGGGCTCCAGTTCGTCCCGTCGGGGCTCCCAGTCTCTCCGGGGAGGCCGGCACCCATCGCGCCTTCCCGTCGGGGCTCCAGTCTCCGGGGAGGCCGGCACCCATCGCGCTTTCCCGTCGGGGCTCCAGTCTCTCCGGGGAGGCCGGCACCCATCGCGCTTTCCCGTCGGGGCTCCAGTCTCTCCGGGGAGGCCGGCACCCATCGCGCCTTCCCGTCGGGGCTCCAGTCGCTGGGGGGAGGCCGGCACCCATCGCGCCTTCCGTCGGGGCTCCAGTCTCCGGGGAGGCCGGCACCCATCGCGCCTTCCCGTCGGGGCTCCAGTCTCTCCGGGGAGGCCGGCACCCATCGCGCTTTCCCGTCGGGGCTCCAGTCTCTCCGGGGAGGCCGGCACCCATCGCGCCTTCCCGTCGGGGCTCCAGTCTCCGGGGAGGCCGGCACCCATCGCGCCTTCCCGTCGGGGCTCCAGTCTCCGGGGAGGCCGGCACCCATCGCGCCTTCCCGTCGGGGCTCCAGTCTCCGGGGAGGCCGGCACCCATCGCGCCTTCCCGTCGGGGCTCCAGTCTCCGGGGAGGCCGGCACCCATCACGCTTTCCCGTCGGGGCTTCCATTCTCCGGGGAGGCCGCACCCATCACGCTTTTCCCGTCGGGCTCCCGTCTCTCCGGGGAGGCCGGCACCATCGCGCCTTCCCGTCGGGCTCCAGTCTCTCCGGGGAGGCCGGCACCCATCGCGCCTTCCCGTCGGGCTCCATGTCTCCGGGAGGCCGGCACCCATCGCGCCTTCCCGTCGGGGCTCCAGTCTCCGGGGAGGCCGGCACCCATCGCGCCTTCCCGTCGGGGCTCCAGTCTCTGGGGAGGCCGGCACCCATAGCGCTGTCCCGTCGGGGCTCCAGTCTCCTCGGGGAGGCCGGAACCATCGGGCTCCCCCCCGGCTCCCGTCGGGGCTCCAGTCTCCGGGGAGGCCGGCACCCATCGCGCTTTCCCGTCGGGGCTCCAGTCTCCGGGGAGGCCGGCACTCACCATGGTCTTCCCATCGGGGCTCCAGTCTCTTGTCTTCCCATCGGGGCTCCAGTCTCTTGTCTTCCCATTGGGCCTCCAGTCTGTCCTATAGCTCAGCGCTTCTTCCACTGGACGGCCAGAGAGTCCACCCGAGTAGCCTGCCTCACCAGTGACCTGGGACTCACGGTCACCTCTCACGCTTGCTCCGCAGCCGGTCCGGACTGTGGATGGAGAAATCCGCCGGAGCTGGGCTGAGGCCCGGGCGGAGTGGCTCACGAACACGGAAATGGTGACAGTGACGTCGTCTATGGGGCGTTTGGGTGCCAGTGCTAAGCGCTGGTCAGGACGTGAAGGCGGTGACGTCCTGGGAGGACGGCCACTTCCCGTCTGTGTGCACCCTGGGCCCACACGGCTGGCCCTCACAATCTGTCCCCACCAAGAAGGCTTACTAACTGCCACTTTCTTTCCGAACCTGCACCCCAACTTTCTCTTTGCAGGAGGATGCCTGAACAGACCCATGAAATGACTCAGCGAGTGTGACAGCCAACTGCGGGGACCAACGGAATCGGACACTCCAAAGGCGGCCACTCCAAACCAGCTCTGACTCCGGAAGGCCAGGCTCGCGGGCGTCCTGCCCAAGTGCAGCCCTGGAGCTGGCTCTGAGCACCTGGTCTCACCCTGCCCACGCGCGGGCTTCCAGGAGGACCCTCCTGCTCCCCTCCGTCTCCTCAGTGTCCTAAGAGCAGGGCAGAAAAGAAGAGAGACCACGTCCCTCGGGCAGGGGCTGGACTGGCTCCCATTTAGCCCCCTGGGTGGGGCTGCTGATCCTCCCTCTGCCCAGAGCACCCGTCTCACGTGCGCACAGCCGGCTGGCCCCCAAGGACCGGGATGAGCCTGTGTCTCTGGGGAGCTTCCAGAGTTCTGGGCCAGTGCCCGTTCGCCCCTCCACGTGGCAGCTGCATCCCATAGCGGAGGGCTCCCCGCACTGTGCACACCTGGGGATTATCGCCGCAGGTGTGCCTGCCCCACCCACAGGTGCTCTGGGGCCGAGGTGGCCTCGAGCGGGACGGCTCCGTCTCACCACCCTGCACCCACATTCCAAACTGTGAGATCTCAGCCCTTCGAGTGCGGTCTTGTCTCCATCAGGAGCAAACACATTCCTGCGCATTTCGGACGCGCAAGGGAAGGCTAACTGGCCTGCGCCCCGTCCGCTGGAAATCAGTCCACAAACCGCCCGGGCCCAAGGCCTTCATCCGCAGAGAGAAGCCGGTTTGCAAAGGAACGACGGTGACGAGGGAGCACAAGGAAACTCTCCGCGGGGGGAGCAGGGCCAGTTCCTGAGCCGGTCCCCTCCCGCGGCGCCTGAGCTTCGTGCTTCGCGTTGGCAGCTTCTCTGACCGTCACCAGCGACAGGCACAGACTGTGCAGCTGCATGAAGCTCTGCCGACAAAGGTGTGCGTCCCCAGAAAAGAAGGACCCCCACATTTTCCTAGTGTCCTTTCCAGAAGCAGGAGGCAGAAGCCACGCAGAGCCGAAGCCGGGGACTCGGGCCTTTCGCTCAGCTGGTTCGGCTGCGTTTCACGCGCCCAGGTGCACAGTCACTGCCTCGGCAGTTCGCAGAACATCGAACTGGGAAGGAGGAAACCTGACGTCATAGTTTTCTTTAATTTTAAAAAGCGTTTCAAAAATAGTTTTTGTAAAAAGTCTTCGCTCTCAGACACGTAAGGGACTCATGTGAACAGGGAGGGTGTGTTTTTAAATAGAGACCACGCCGGGAAAATGAAGCTTTCAGTTTAAGGAAAGCGACAGCCGGTCTGGGCCTAACCGCGGTTTCCAAGCTCCGTCTACATACATGTTGGAGTAAATGGTTTTGTCTGCTTTCCGAATGACAAGGGACAGCAGCCTGAAGTTGTTGCAAGGCCCAGGGCTGCCACTAGATGGCAGTGTGTCCGGCTGCCAGGGAGCCGTACCCACTTTAATAAAGCTCCCTCTGTCCTCTCAACAAAGGAGCAGGTAGGTAACCCATAGGGTGTGTCTCATCTCCACACAAGGCACAGCCCTTTACCTCCGAAAAGAATATACAAGCAGCAGCTCCGATGCACCGTGGCGGCCGCTGCATGGCGTGGCGTGGGGACCGCCACAGTGTGGGCGCGCGCTCAGGGAGATGGGGTGCTCCAGCCCACAGCAGCCCCGGCCCTCTGCGGACACCAGTGTCCTCATTCGCGGAAGGCTGGCAGCGGCCACATACCTTGCAACCTGCTGCATTTATGACTCTCATTTTCTGAGCAACACCAACGCTTTAGGTCAGCGCGCCGACTTCAGTGGCGGGCTTAGGACCGAGTGCACAGGACAGTGAAGAGTCCCTTCTAAACAAATTCCTCTGAAATGTTAGACTGTGGCAACTGTTCCTTTCAAAAACAAACGCTCAAAGTAGCGCCTTAAATAATCGATGCATTCCAGTGTTCACCCGTCCTGTGAGGGTGCTACTGACCACGGCATCGATACAACGCAGGGTCTCCCTACCACCAGCCACCTGCCCACCTCCTACACACAGGTACGGCCTGTGGGCACCGGGGGACCGCAGCAGGGGGGCCAGGTACAAAGGACTTTTCCTCATGGTGTCCCCACCCCCCGTCAGCACCCCCGGACCCCGAATGGGCAACGAGGTCCCAGAAACAATGTCACTGTATAGTCCCCTCTCAAGCAACCAATGAACAACAGAAAACACTGCTCAGAAAACACCCACTTTAAGGGCAATTTTCCTTCAAATATACACAGCAGTGGAGTCCACCGTCAAGGTGGAAACGTAGGGGTTAAATCCAGTAACACTGACGTGACCCTGAGTGGCCTGTCCTTGAACTCTCGTATTCCTAATTCAATACCCATTTGTCCCCTGGTCCCCGCCCCCGCCTCTTCACACAAGGTGCAGCATGAGTCACTGCAGACCTGTTTTTCTAGCTGAGGGGCCAGAGCTTCTAGCTCCTCACTCACGTCTCTGAACTCAGACAGGAAGGAGGAGCTGGGCTCCACTCAGGTCGGGCCGACAGACGTGTCAGCGACGAGGATTTGGGGGCCGGGGCGGCTCAGGCCTGGCTGTCAGACCTCCTGGTTCCAGCCCTCCGGAAGCTCCCTGCCCCCTCCCTGGGAGCCCACGCTGCCGAGGGCAGGGACAGGTGTCCGCTCGCCACTGCAGCCGATGCCTGGATCACACAGGTGCTCAGTACACCGGCTGAATGAGTGAACCCCAGCTTCTCAGGGGAAGATCTGGGGCTTGGTGGAGAAGAGGACATGGCGTGTTTATAGGAGGGGACACGAGAACGAGGTGGAATCGTGTATGTCCTCCTGAGACAGGCCGGCCCCCTCTGCGTTCCCACGACCGGGGAGGGCCAGGGGGTGGGGCGAACTCCGTCTTCAGATGCTGAGGCACCTGTGTTTCCTTGAAGCCGGGCAAGCTATCATTTCCTTCATTCTGCTTACTTTGCTCTTTAACAGGGCTCCGCTCCCCGCCCTCGGGGCACCTGCCCCCACCCCCACTCAGGTTCCTTCCCAGCGAGACCTTGTGCCCTGTCCTCACTCACTCATACTGCCCCTGCGCCCGGAGTCCTGATGAGCGGCCAGGCCAGGGGTCATTTCCCATGGTCCACAGCACCTCCAGCCCTGCCAATGCCTGCTCTCTTGTCTTGCTTCCTGAGGGTGTCACCACCCCCTCTTTCCAGGGGAAGCTCAGGAAGTTTACATGCCTGGCCAGGTGCTCCCGACCAGGAATGCGAGCGATGACATTTGAACCCGGCAACTCCCCACACCCTTCCTGCTCTGTGTCCCTCTGAGAGGCCAGGCTTCAAGGGTCACTCACTGCACGGCCTCGCCCCGGGCTCTGCCCATGGCCTCTGCCCCTCCCTGCCGGGCAGGGCACCAGGGCAGTCCAAGCTCGATTCTGGCTTCTTTCCAATCAACAAGGCCAAATATATCCACTGTCACTCTGTGGTCCAGCAAGCCCCAAATACAAACGCCCACCCCTCGCAACGGTGTAAGCGCCCGGGACCCAGAACACAGAAAGAGGACTGTGACTTTGGAACTCGAGAAGAGGGGCTGGCTCAGCTCTGTCTCCTGGACCCCGCAGGTGCCAGGACGCTGCCTTCTCCTCTTGAGATGGTCAAGTGCCCTGTAAACACACCCCTGGCGACCGCCCTGCCCGGGGATCGCCCCCCGAGGGAGGTGCTCGGATGGGGCGGCTACACGCCGCCCCACAGTCCGCGGGATGCTGGCCACCGCTCCCTTGATGTGTCGCCATGACGACCGGTGAGCCTCTATAAGGAGCCGCGACCCGGGAGGAAAGGCTGAACTGATGATCTGTGTGTGGCCCGCCGCGAGGTTGGCTCAGCGAAGTGCCTGGGTGCTCGGAGCGTCCAGGGCTGCGTGTGAGCAGTGGGCAGCGCGCTCAGAGCCTCCTCAGCTGCAGACTCCGAGCTGAACAGAGAGAGTCAGAATCATGAGGAGCCCTAGGGCCCCTCCGCCATTGCTTGGTTCCCCGGCGGTACCTGGAGAAAAAGCGACCCCGCGCACAGCTCCCCAGGACCGGGACCTCACCAGACCCCCAGTGGCAGGGACCACCCGCCTCTCGTCATCAGCCCCAGGGACACTGGACACGTTTCACGCTCCCCTGTTTATGGTCATCCACAACACCCCGGTTATGTGAGTAAATCTGTCACAAATTTAGAAGCTTCTGACAAAGAAATCTGAGTCTGATTTCAGTCTCTTCAGCGCAAGTGACCGGGTTGGGCCCTGTGGTTCTGTGACCTCACTGGGCTGCCCCTGACCACCCCTAATCGCAGGCTTTCCCGCTCCGTGTGCTCAGGGCTAGGACCCTTCGAAAGGAGAACCGCGGTCTCCACTGGTCAACTGTGAGTTCCTTTACTTTTCTCCAAAGGAAGGTTGGCCCTCCATTAGCTTCCACGGAGAACGTTTGCTCCTCGTGGTCGAAGGTTTCACGTCGACGCGTGGACAGGTGAGAATGTAGGGCACAGCCGAGCTGGGAGGAGGCTTGACCGGAGGCCGCCGGGGTGCTAACCCGGTCAGCAGGGAATCGAGCGCGAAAACTGCCCCCTTCAGTCTTACGCAACAACCGTAAAGAGCAGATTTGCCAAAAAACCGAGGTGACGTGATATCAAACAGCTGGGCATCACTCCTGCTGATGGTGAGCACCTGGCCTCCGGGGCGTCCTCACCCCCACCTGGGCCCCTCACCGCTGCTCTCCAGGACGGGGTAGGGGGGTGGTCAGGTGGCGCGGGTGCAGAGGGGGTGTCCGCAGCTCACACTTCCACAGAGAAAGGGGCTCTCCCGTCCTAACATCTGCCCCCCTGACCCATCTTCTGTTTTCTCACTCCCGACATTTCTCCACTACCAGGAACACGCCAGTACAAGGCCAGAGAGGACGAGCTCTGGCCTCGGCCTTGGAGTCAGGGACACAGGGAGGGGCACCGAGGCCGCCCACCCGCCCGCCTGATGCAGCAGTATGAGCTCAGTCTCCAGGGGTCCCTTTATCTGCTTCCCCAGAAGCCTGACATCTGCATTTGGAAGGAGCCCTCCAGGCTTTAAAAGAATAATAAAGAAGAGATCATCGAATTTAAAGATCGAACAAGTCACCAGCACACAGTGGCGCATCGGTGCAGGGGAGCTCAGCTCCAAGCCAACCAGGAACTCCGCCTGAACCCCAGCCAGGAACACGGCCTACACTGCAGGCCTCCGAGCACCCAGCTGTCCTGCAGCCAAGTTCAGAGCCACGCTCACCCTGCTCCGTGCCTGGGAGGTGGAGGAAGCAGACCGACGCTGCCCCGCTCGGCTTCCTGTGCCCTGGGCTTCTCAAGGATGCGGTGTAGGGGTGTCATGCACACCGAGCAGCATGCAGCCCGGCTCCTGTCCACTGAACCCCGCCCCTGGTCTCTGCCAGCCCGCCACCTCCAGGTGTCCCCAGGGGCAAAACTACCCTGCAAATCCCTCACTGTTCAAAGAATGTGTAGCGGCATCATACGGAGCATCCGATGAGGGGAAACCGCCCAATATCCAAAGACTACGGAGGCACACTCGAGGCCCAGAGGATGGGGACCACATCATAGGGCCCTTATTTTCCAAAGCAAAACATGAGTCATGATGCTGAGTAACCAACAAGCTCTGTGGTTCCACACACACTGAAGAAGGGGAGAGCCCGCGGGGTGACGGGGACGGGCCACAGCTAGGGATGCCACGGCACCGCCCCCCGCCCCCCCCCCCGCCTTCTAAAACCGCCTGGGCCGAATAACAAATGACGTCCAACAAAATGCGTCAAGTCCATCCTTTCCATGTTTAAATCATAAAGAGCAACGCATGGGTCACATGCTACACTCCCCACACTGCTCAAAGGCCCCCCTCCCAGGAAGACCCCCCTCCCAGCACTGTCGCCCGGCCCTCAGAAGCGTCACAGTGCCGGCCAGCATCGTGAAGCTGCTGTTCCAAGCCGGACAGCTCCCCCCACTCGCGTGTACCGGGACCGAACCGATACGGAGCACCTTGCTCTCTCCCGCATGCAGGCCGAGGCGGCGGCCCGAGGACAGACAGCAGAGGAAGGGGAGCAGGCAGTGGACAGAGGCACACTCACCACTGGGCTGGCCCGTGCCGAGCTGGCTCTGGAGGAGGCCCGGGAGCTGGAGCTGAGGTGGCCGCAGGGCTCCGAGGGCTGTCCCACAGCCCGGTGCCGCACGCAGACAGAGACAAAGGGACAGGGTTAGCAGAGATGCCCGAGCATGAGGCCCCCCCGCAGCCGAGAGGCTGGCCACGTGCAGTGCGGAGCAGGGGTTAGCACGGAGCCCAGGTTCCCCTGGAGAGCGAATGCCCGCTAAGAGTGAAAGACGTTCATCAGCGCCTCAGAAGAACAGAATGCTCGGTTAGTAGGAGAAAGGGACACAGGGCATCTGCTGAACTTGGCTGTGCGGTCACGCGCTGTGGGTGCACAGAAAGCCACCTTGTCTCTGTGGAAGAGACTGGCCGCCTCCCTGCCCGCACTGAGCCTGGCGCTGGGCAAAGGAAACGTCTGCTTCTCCATCTTCCCCAGTGAAAGCAACATAAGATCGAGGGTTCAGTCAAAAGCCAGGCAGGGCTCCGTTAGCTCTGCTGTAGACATCGGTCTGTCCGTCCACCAATCTAAACTCTCTCCTGGGAGAGGTACACACCGGCTGCTGATTTATCTGGGAGCCATGTCCTCTTAACTTTGATTTGTACTCAGGTGTGTCCTCATCCTAGATACCTTTCATGTTTTCTAGAAAGTTCTTACTTCCCTCTTGAGCAAGGAAGGGTGGGGGAGGGGAGGGGAGGCAGGGTACCAGCAGCAGTTGGGATCACGGCCTCCAGCAGGCATGGCATGGCCACAGGAGCCGCCCTGCTCGGTGCCCTTCCTAACACCGGGCACCCACAGACACACCTGCAGGCACTATCCTTCCTGCAAAGTATATGGGCCACAGCGTGTCGGGGTGCTCGCCACTGTCACCGTGAAGACCACCTTCATTGCCCGGTGTTCCTACTAGAGGGTCACTCCTGGGGGTGAGGTCTGCACTCCCCCCATTTCCTGCGGAGTCCCCAGTGATCAGACGAGCCTGGTACACAGCGTGCATTCCAAAAATACTTGTTGAATGAAAAACTTCAATTCTAGACTATAAATAGCCTTGGCCAAGGTGAGCAAGTTCTTCAGACCTGCCCTAGCTACACCGTTCCTTTCTCTGACACGCATTTATTGCACGCTCACGTGCGAGACTTCTCAGATGCACAGACATCGTGTGTAAGAACCAGGGCCAGATGGGTTACGTGAGAAATTTACTGGTATCACCTGCCTCACCTTGTAGCTTTACTGTGCAAAATAAAGGAAAACCCCCGAACCAGCACTTTAGGGCAAAAGACTTCGCCTTTGGGTTTGCCGAGAGGACAGGGGAGACGTCCCCCCTGCACGAGTCCTGCCGCAGCCTGTCTCTCGCACCCCGGTGTAGGATGCGGAGACGAGACGGTGCTAACAGAGCTCAGGGCTGACCCAGGTCCCCCAGCGCCGGCCTCAGTCAGAAAGTGTCTCCGCTCCACCTGCCCTGATCATGAAGAAAACCCTTCGAGCCCGGACCGCTGCGGTCCACGGGGCACCCCGGAGCTGCTTGCGTTGGGGAGTCAGCGTGGCTCACGCGGGTGAAGGTAAGCTGGAAATATCTGAGTCCCACTCCAGGCTCTCTGTCCTTGGCCATACCACGCACACGGCTTACTAACGGCAAGGAAGGCGTAAGACAGACAGGTTGTCAAGCAAAACTGTTCTACTTTCGAAAACCGGCCATTCGCTCCCTTCGAATCAGGTCACGAGGACGAAGTCACTGAACTGCACACACACACTGTGGCCGAGGCTAACTTCTTGGGAGAATGGAGACGAGGAAGGATCTCCTAGATGGAGGCTGTCCTGGGCAGGCTGGGGCTCGGGACAGGACGGACCCCCAAGCTTGCTCACAGGTGTGTGTGTTTATCAGGGGTCACACCTACTAGCTGGGTGAAGAGCGTGGGAAAGCGGGGGCACGGAGCCCCATTCCGGAACACGGGGACCCGGCGTGGCAGTCGGAGAGTGACGGCGAGGCTGGGGTGAGACGGGGTGGGAGGGGGGAGCTCGGTGCGCCTTCCTCCGCTCCGCCTGCTGCTTCGCTGCTGAGAACAGAGCTGACGCCCAAGATCTCTTCCGAGGGGTTTTACCCCGGGTTTAACCTGTCCAACTGAAGTCGGCAGAAGTGTGCTGAGCTCCCTCTGGGTGCACCAGGAAGCGGAGAAGAGCTTGTTTCTATTCCCTTTTCTTCCTTCTGCATGCCTGACACCAGGGACACGCGGCCCTATCTCAGGAGCTCGTGCCCCGGGGCGAGAAGGCCTTCCGTCTCCGTCACCCCGCTAACCAGCCGCGGAGGCCGTAGTGAAGGAACCCGCGACACACATCCCGCGGAGACCAGAGGTTCCACTTGGGTCGCCAGGAATCTCAGTGCTGGGGGGAAGTCTCATTCCCGTAAGGAATTAGTATGCCGTTTCCTGTCTGATAAAAAATACCATGTAGTTGCATTTATCTGTCTCATATAAGCTAGAGCTATTTCACCCATTAGGTGTATGAACTTTTTAATGGCTCACAAAAGTCTTTAAGAACCGGAAAAAGGTTTGAAAAAGCAGGTTTAGCCTGACCAGTTCAGTTCAGTTCAGCAGTTACAGCTTCGACCTGTGGACCGAAGGGGCGTGGCTTTGAGTCCCAGTCAGGGGCACGTACCCTGAAACTCTCTCACATAGATGATTCTCTCTCTGTCTGTCTCCCCCACCCCCCATCCTTCCCTCCAACTCTATCCAAAAATCAATGGGGAAAAAAAACCTCGGTGAGGATTAATAAAAACAAAACAAAACAAAAGTAGGCTCCACTACAAGAAAAATGTTATGCAATATAAAACTGACAAATGCTTAATGAGATGTCACCAAAAAGGAATGCTGCGTCAACTAATTATTAAATATAATACTTGTAAAAATTACATTCTAAAGAAAACTATGGGCTAGACAGGTTGCTTTGTAAGAATCCCTGGATATTCACGATGACTGGAGAAACATAAAATTGGATTATTTAGCTAACTGATGAAGTAGCTAATCATTTCCGAAAGCAAAATTAGAAAAGCGTTTTCACTATTTCTGAAGAAACCGTCTATCGCACGTGGACCCGGCGCAGTTCCAGGACCTCCGGGGGCGCTGTGGAGCAGCGCCTGTGACCGCGGGAGGCTGGCTCCCGCGGATGCTGGTCCAGCTGGTCCTCGGGACGGGCTCATTCATTAGCTTCCTCAGTTCCGAGGACGAATCCATTTCTCTATTTGTTCACCTTTATCATGACTCACTCAGTTTTTTCGTTCAACAAGTATGTCTTGTACAACTACCAAGCCTTTATCGCATGGCCACTGCAATCCTTCAAAGGAGAAGGAAGACAAAATTATGAAAAGGGAAATGAGCCCTGGCCGGTTTGGCTCAGCGGTTAGAGCGTCAGCCTGCGGACCGGAGAGTCCCGGGTTCGGTTCCCCTAAGGGCACGTACCTCGGTTGCAGTTTGTCCCTGGCCCCGGTTGGGGTCGTGTGGGTGGCAACCAGTCGATGTGTCTCTCTCACGTCTCTCTTCCTCCCTCTCTCCCTCCCTCTCTATCTGAAGAAGGATGCAAAAATGTCCTCGGGTGAGGATAAAAAATAAAAGACACGGGAAATGACGTAAGTGGGATATCCTGAGTCTTCGAATTCGTCCACCTCCCTCAGTTACCCAGAGGTGAGTAAGTGGTGGCCTGCGTTTCCTTTCCTCCTTTGATTGAGACCAACCCCTGCGCTACCTGAGTGTTGTCACGAGTTATGGGGAAAGAGCCGATGAAGCTTGGTGGAGGTCGGTCTTGTCCCTTTGACTGCAACGGGCGAGGACATCAGACTCTCAACCCCAGGCTTCGTGACTCATGGTCCGTGACCCTTCATACAATGGGAAATTGAGACGAGACCGTGTCTCCTCCCTGTGACTCAGGCCGGTTGTCTCCCCGGCTGGACTGTGCTGAGCAGGCCCGCCAGGCCACGCAGCGGACGGGAGAAACCACAACCACAGACAGTGCCTCACAGCCCACGGGGCACAGGCCCTTCCCCGCAAAGCCCCCCCGAGACTGTGGCCGTCCAGCATGGACGCCTGCCACAGAAACAGACGGTCAGGACGGGCGGCCCGTCCCTCTCCAGCACCTAGGAAACGCTGAAGCGTGCACTCGGATGGAAACTCAGAAGGTTGTGAACAAGGGGCACAGCCACTGTGCATACGTGAGTTTCCCGCACAGCGTAAGTACCAAGTGAGCCGGCCCAGAGCGTGAACGCCTGTTAACCTTATACACAGCGGTAAAAGCCGCCTTTCCATCTGCCAGGGAGGGTGGGACCCTGCTCCCCGCAGACTGAAGCGGGCTCAGCTGTCGGGAGAAAGGAAACCCAGATCTGGCCAAAGGGGACTGACCGGCACCACGCACGTGTGAGCGGCATGTCACCGGTGGTTCCCTGCGGACAAAGCAGGTGTGGCGGTGCGCACGCGCGGTGGGGGCCTGCGGGGCTGAGGGGGGCACCCGGTAGCTCCCAGCACAGACTGTAGGGGGAGCGGGGAGGGGGGCTGGAGGATGGGAGCAAAGGGCAGGTTTTAGAAGCCACGGAAAAACAGCAATGAGCCTCATGATAGCTAGGAGCCGAGCCTAATCCAGTTACGGGGTTAGAAGAAAAAGAGTCCACGTTCGCAGTAAATCTGACGGATCCAAACGCCAGTTTCCATGAAAGGCAAATGCGAGATGGTTTTTGACTTGAAACCGTGACCTTCTGCAGCATCCCTGCGACTCTCTCCTAGTCATCTCTTCCCAGGCGTTCCCGGAAGGGGGGGGGGAAGGGAGGGGAGCGAGGGGAGCACGGTGTCCAGGCAGACCCCCCAGACAGCAGCCAAACCGCACGTGCACAGCCAGCACACAGTGTGTTAACCCACACACTTCCACGTGGGGAGAGGGGGCAGCAGGGTCCCAGGAGCAGCCTGCAAGGCACACAAGGGGCTGTCAGCCTGCAGCCGCCGGCCACACCTGAGCCCGGCGGGGTTGCTGGGACCCAGAGGCTGGTGTGGCCGCAGACTGAGCTCCAGAGCAGCGCGGTGACTCATTTCCAGGCGCAGGCCACTGGCCGGTCTGGGGTGAGTCACTCGGCCATGCGAGGGAGAGGACAATGCGAGACAACAGTCCAGCCTCCAGGACACGGTCCGCCCTCGGGCTCTGAGCGGGCTCTGAGCGGGCTCCTGGGGAGAGCCAGGCCAGTCCCTGCAGCTAAACAGGAAGCCAGAGGAGCGTCCGCCGAGACAGGGCTGCCCCCGAGGCGGAGGCGGCCCATCACGCACAAAGGCCTTCCGAATTGCTTCCTGGACACATCGACAAGAGAAAAATATTTTCTGAAAAACAAACGAAGCCCAAATGGGGAACAATTGCTGGAAAAGGAGGAGAGCCCAAGAGACCGATTTGGGATGGCTGGAGCTTTTGAAAACACCCATTCACTAGAGCCTCCTTTTTCCTAAATTCCTTTTTCTATAGACGGTCTTACATGATGTTCGATAACATTTTTAACAGCTGAGAGACGTCTCAGAAGGCTCATCGAGCCGATGGAAACCCGCTGGACTCTGCTCTCTGACCTCCACGCAGGAGGGCGGGGCGTCCACACACGGGCACGCGGGGAGCGAGGGAGGAAGGAGTGGCGTGCAAGGGGGAGACAGACCCGGTTTCCATGCTGGGCGGACAGGGCGCTGGGAGCAAGGCCACTACAGGGAAGGCCAAGGTCCGAGCGGGACGGTCCCTGTAATTAGAGAACACGCAGGAGGGCCAGAGGCCGCTGTACTTCCTCTGGGAGGCACATCACATTGCACATCCACATGCAACCGCCGCTCACAAGGAAACGCGTGTGCACACACTTCCAGGGGCGGAGGAAGGGGAGGGTCCGAAGGAAATGAAGACGGTCCCGCTGATGGACAAAACTATGCTGGGGACCAAGTCAGGACTTTGGGTCTACACACAGGCAAAACCAGACTGCAGTGCGTGTGATCGGTAGCGAGATCACAGGGGCTCTGGACGTCTTTGTAATCTGAGTTCTGATTTTAAAGGTTGGCAGGAAGAGCTCAAAACCCAGAGTTTGTGGGGAGCCCTGGGCGGTTTGGCTCAGCGGCTGGAGCGCCGGCCGAGGACCAATGAGTCGTGGGTTCGATTCCAGTCAAGGGCACGTACCTCAGTTGCGGTTCATCCCTGGCCCTGGTTTGGGTCGTGCGGGAGGCAGCCCGTCGATGTGTCTCTCTCACATCGATGTTTCTCTCTCTCCCCCCTCCTCCCACTCTATCTGAAGATAAATGAAAAAATACCCTCCGGTGAGGATTAAAGAAACAAATACAGAGTTTGTGGAGAGATCAGCCTCTCTTTCATGTAGAATATTTCGCTGGAAATGGTCTCTGGCTAGGCCTCCCAGGTGGTCACACCACGGGGCGTGCACAGTCCATAGAGGACAGATTGAGCGCTGCCATTCTGAGCCCAGGAGTCTATATGACATTTCTGGGGAATACTTCTCCATAAATTAATAATTTCCCCAAATAAGGTGTTTTACCCGAGCTGAAGGACCCTTGCAGGGGAAGCCATTTGCTCCGGGTTTCGAGGTCAGCAACATTCTACTGACCACCCAAGAGCAGGACTGTCCTTGAAGGTCCAGTCGTTCCATGTAAGGAGCTGATGGCTCCTTAAGACATTCCGCCTCCACTTCAAGTCCCACAACTTGTGCCGGTCACTCCTGTGCTGCGCAGGCAAGTGGAACTCTGGGGCAGACGGGGAGAAACGGCCTAACGGTGACACACAAGCTGCAGCGTGTGTCAGGGGCTGGGCTGGAAGCGCAGAGGGCCACGGGGCCACGTGGGAGGAAGCACCCACAGCCACCTCCGGACACTGCGTGGTCCAGTCCACGGTCTGCCTCTGCCACGTCTACAAGACTGGAGAAGTCCTTAGGAAAAGTCTTCAGTGGTACGTACGCCACGGACACCTTCCCATTATGAGGTTTAAATAAAATAAAAGGGGCCGGTGCGCCCTGCAGGAGCTGAGCACAGTAGTGACCAAGGAGCTTCCGGGGGGGGACGAGAAGATGACGCTGGGCGGTGTGGTGGTGGCGACACGCGGCCGCAGGGAGGTCTGACGAGTGCTGCATTTTGAAACGGCCAGCTCTAATCGCGGCTCGGCCACCTTGGGGGGTCACTTCCGGCCAGTGGATGGAAGGAGTGACCTGTTATCCTCGGTCTCTCCGCCATCTGTCTGACAGCGACCACCTCCGCTCGGAAAGTGAGGAGGTTTTCCGAAGGACTGAGTGCTCTCTGCAACGGCATAGACCCCCTGGAATTAGGAAAATACACACAGCCCGGCCGGGGTGGCTCAGTGGCTGAGCGTCGACCCTGCACGGAGAGGTCACCGGTTTGATTTCCGCTCAGGGCACATGCCCAGGTTGTGGGCCCGATCCCCAGTGGGGGGCGTGCAGGAGGCGGCCAGTCTATGTTCTCTCTCATCGATGTTTCTGTCTCTCCCTCTCCCTTCTCCTCTCTAAAATCAATAAAAAAAATAGAAGTAAAAAAAAAAACGGGGGGGGGGGCACAGAGGAAAAGTGGTGAATAGATGTTAAAGGAGGGGAGTTGAACCCACACACACAACCGCATGCTATAAAACCTGCCGCTTCCGGAGAGGGTGTGAAAGATTTAAATGGAAACCAACCAACTTCTCCTCTCTGGATGATGACACAGTGGAGATTCTGCCGTCACCGCTGTAGCTGGAAGTCTGGGCACCAAAGAAGACAGAGTAAGTGACTCGCACTTCCTTAGTGTCCCCGCAGCCCCACCTGTCCGGGTCAAAGGTAAATACAAAGTGCACCACCGCACCACGTTAGCCCCGGGAGCACCAAGGCCCGAGCGCCTCTGCAGCGGCCGGAATGCTTAGCAACAAGACGCTCGAAGCGTCACCTTCCAGGGTTTACGTCTCCGTGGTGTCCTGTGGTTGAACTCTTACTGTTTTTCACAGTTTCCCATCTCTGGTGTTACTTGTAATGACTTACTAAATCTTATGATGGATGTCTATCACCTCCTAGCCTGGATTTCCACTGTTACACATCTTCGGAGCTAAATGAAACTCCGTTTATGGTAAAAGCCTCCCGCCATCCTGCGGGCCAGCACACCCAGGGGCTCCCGCGCTCCGGGAGGTGAGGGGTCTGGGCCAGCCGCCCCTCCCAGCGAGAACCACTGTCCACACATGGCAGCTCCCTGCAGCGGTCTCTGCGGTTTCTCCCACATCCTCCAGGAGGCTCTGAAACAGCCCAGAACTAGATGGGGAGGGACTGGAGCTACCGATGAAGGCGGGAGCTGGGGATGCAAACAGTCCAGCGGCCCCCTGCGGGCCGAGTTCCCTGGGAGGGGGAACAATGTTTCCAGACTCCTCCCTTGGGGGGGGGATTCAATGGGGATTCTATTCCTTCCCACCGGTGCTCCCCACAGCCCACCCACCTTTCTAAGCGCACCCTCCACCATCCTGGGCCTTCCCCCCGATCTTCCCAGACCTGCTGCCGCAGTGGACGGAGGCTACCTGGTTCCTCAATCATTATACTTCTCGATTATTTATTAAATCAATTTTATATCCAGTTTTTCTCCATGGTGAACGGCTTTACAATCACGTTCTTTCGTACTTCTGGGCGCGTGACTGAAATCTCAATACATCATACAGCACACTGTATTGCTATCGCGTAGAAGCCGGAGGTTCAACTGTGGCTCTCTGTGGAACACAGAGCCCGATGTTATCTTGTCCGGTCACAGAACGTGGCACTGCGTGTCTGGGATGTTCCAGAGAAGAATGTGATATTGGGTAGAGGTTGGACTAACGGGTTTCTACAGTAACGTCTCACCCTAAACGACAAAGCATCGTGCTCAATCACGGTGAAGCGATGCCTTGAGGGTGAAAAGCTGCGAGTGAACGGAACCCCGACAGCAGTCTGGGGCCACCAGGGGCCACCGAGGCTCTTGTCCTCCGTGGCAGCACGGGCTGTAGGACACGGTGGTGTGCCTGCCGCCTGCCCTGGGCCCGAGTGGACAGAGATGTAAAGAAGTAGTAACGGAACCGGAGGAAGTCCAGGGACATCCCTGCAAACAGCAGATGCAGGAAGACAGCCCGCAGACAGAGGGCGCTCCGTCTGAAGAGGAAAGCTGGCAGAGACCGGGCGCGTGCAGTCCTGGGGGGCAGGAGGGAAATCCTGAACCCTGAACACAGAACTTAAGTGTGTGTGTGTGTGTGTGTGTAATGTAATTCAGATTAATGTAAAGAAATACTGCTTTACACAACTAGTAACATTTATTACAAGAAAACAGTGAAGCAAATGTTAAGGACAGGAAGACTGTAGATAATTCAATGTATAACATTTGCAGCAGGTCATGAAACAATCAAAAATGTATCTAGTTTAGCCTTTTGAAGCCCAGGGAGACCTTCCTGCTAAATTTAGCTCAGGCCCCCCCACTGCTCTCCAGCACTCCTGCCTGGTCCCTTTCCTCCTCTGCACCCCTGCAGAGGACGGCTCGGGCCCCTGGCTGCACCCCTGCACCGCGAGTGTGCCAACCTCGGTATCCAGGAACACACAGGCTCTGCCCGTCTTTAAAATGACAAACAAGAGCCTGGAAGACGGGAAATGTCGAATTTCAGCATTTTGAAAGCTGGACATACGTGATATACACATTACATACATACACCTCGGGCCATAAAATAATGAAAGAGCTCATCTTTAGTCTAGATCTTCTAAGCTCAGAGATTCTTATCAGCATGAAGCTCTTACACAACCATCAGGACTGCTTATCAGCTGAAAATCATGAGCTCTCACTTTATCATGCACTAGGGAATAAAAGAGAACCACTATGACTGGGGGGGGGGGGGCAGCTACACTGAGCGATGTTTTTAAAAAGCTCGGCAGCAACAGGTTTGAATTCCGTGCCATGCAGATGACTGTACTAACCCTGCCAGATCTTCTGTTCAGGGGCTGCGATCCATATAGCTCTCCATCATAACCATTTGTCTGTTTCAATGAAGAAGAGAAGAAAAGGTGATATCAGCAGACACATGAAGACAACGGACAGACAGACAGACAGACCAGCAAGGAGGAATCAGCCAGGTACAGACTGAGCTTCCCGAGGGGAGTGGATGAATGAAAGCCAGGGATCGCCCAAATCCTTACATACCCCCAAGAGCCTCAGGCCCCCCATCTGCTCCGCTACAACTCAGGAAAGTCCATTCAGTGTCACTTGTGACTGCAGGGCACTGGGGGCTTGAGGCCCAAGTCCCTCCTGTGGGTGAAGCCACGGCCCGGCAGTCTCTCTGGGCGGTTTCTCCTGCCTGCAGCTTCACGGCGGTGCTTTGGAAATCCCAGCGTGCGAAGAGCCTGCCCACCACGCAAGCGGCCAGTGGTTCGGCCCGAGCTAGTCAGTTTTCAGTTCTGGGTTCAGGGTGAGTCCCTAACAATCACGGCCCCTCAGGAAGCTGTATTTAGAAAATTCAGACACAGCTTCTATCCACTCCATCATTCCATGTAAAAATTCATTACGGGAAATGGTAGGGTACGTCCTCTACACGCGGTTTTCATTCATCCAGTCTCCGCTGGCCTGGGGAATCAGAACGCCGGGGCCTGGGGTGTGCAAGCTCCCCAGACGCCCGCAGGTTAGCAGTTGCTAAGAGGTGAAGTAAGACACGAGAATTAATGCCCCATCCAAACCAGTCATTCTAGTGGTGAGTCACGCTCAGTCAGGAAGCTGCAAACACCACTCGGTGCTCTCACGCACACGCAGACGTCACACGTGGCCACGCGAGACTCAATCGTCAGCTCTTCGGATGGACGGTGTGAGGTTATTTTTCTACTGAGGCAAAGGGCAACTCACGTTCAAGGGCATGAGAGATGGGAACCACAGAAGAAAGGCAAAATCAAAACTCACGCGTGCCCTACCGGGTGCCTTGAATTTAGTTTTAAAATGGAATAAAAGCTGGAAGTAAAAGTGCCCTCCAACAGGTGCTCCTGACTCGCTAACACGTCCCCCCTTCTCCTCAGGGACGGCCCTGAAGGCAATTCACTTCAGGGAATAAAGTGGCTAAAAAGCTGGAAACATGTCGCTAATACATTAATTACGTAAAGGATGGAAATGCGTGTCACAGAAATGTGCTCATCCCCCAGTGTCAGGAGGCTGGGGTCCAGGGTGCTAGGCAGGTGGAGGGCACTATTAATTGTCACCGCAAAGGTAAAAACCCTTTTCAAACGCAGGAACTTGCTGATAACTTGGGAATGCGACAGACTGGGTGATGCACAGAATGCCCAGGAGCGTCCTGAAGGGAGGGGTGCGCGGGCTGCTGTCACGGTGGGCCGTGGGCTGCTGTCACGTGGGCCAGCTCACGCCCCTGTGCCTTTGGAGCTGGGATTGCCTCCCTGCGGTTCACGCTGACCGCGTAGAAAGCAGAACGCACGCAAACTCTCCCGGACAGATGCAAGAGAATAATTTCGAATTTAAGGCGGAAGCCTGTTTTGGTGCTGGAACTGGGGTCTTTGGCAAAGAAGCCCAGCTGTACATTGAACTCCATGGATAGGGACTAGAAAACCATGGATTTGTCATGGAATGAAACTATTTTAAATGTAACCTTTTAAAGGGACAACAGTCCTTGATCTGATTTGAGTTCCTTGAAAGGAAGACGCCATCTGTTCCCACCTTGGGACCCAGAGCGGCCAGCAAACAGCTGGTGCTCCAACAGTGTGTGGTGCCAGCCAGGTGGGTCAGAGCTGTGCCCAGGAGGCTCTGAAGAAGACTATGCGCTCTGGTTGGCACATCTGCCTCTGCCCACAGTCCCCAGGTAGAGACTGGGGGGCACCTGTCTCCACCCACACTCCCCAGGTAGAGACTGGGGGCACCTGCCTCCACCCACACTCCCCAGGTAGAGACTGGGGGCACCTGTCTCCACCCACACTCCCCAGGTAGAGACTGGGGGGCACCTGCCTCCACCCGCACTCCCCAGGTAGAGACTGGGGGGCACCTGTCTCCACCCACACTCCCCAGGTAGAGACTGGGGGCACCTGTCTCCACCCACACTCCCCAGGTAGAGACTGGGGGGCACCTGTCTCCACCCGCACTCCCCAGGTAGAGACTGGGGGGCACCTACCTCTACCCGCACTCCCCAGGTAGAGACTGGGGGGCACCTGCCTCCACCCACACTCCCCAGGTAGAGACTGGGGGGCACCTGCCTCCACCCGCACTCCCCAGGTAGAGACTGGGGGGCACCTGCCTCCACCCGCACTCCCCAGGTAGAGACTGGGGGGCACCTGCCTCCACCCGCACTCCCCAGGTAGAGACTGGGGGCACCTGCCTCCACCCGCACTCCCCAGGTAGAGACTGGGGGGCACCTGCCTCCACCCACAGTCCCCAGGTAGAGACTGAGGGGCACCTGTCTCCACCCGCACTCCCCAGGTAGAGACTGGGGGGCACCTACCTCTACCCGCACTCCCCAGGTAGAGACTGGGGGGCACCTGCCTCCACCCACACTCCCCAGGTAGAGACTGGGGGCACCTGCCTCCACCCGCACTCCCCAGGTAGAGACTGGGGGCACCTGCCTCCACCCGCACTCCCCAGGTAGAGACTGGGGGGCACCTGCCTCCACCCGCACTCCCCAGGTAGAGACTGGGGGGCACCTGCCTCCACCCGCACTCCCCAGGTAGAGACTGGGGGGCACCTGCTTCCACCCGCACTCCCCAGGTAGAGACTGGGGGCACCTGCCTCCACCCGCACTCCCCAGGTAGAGACTGGGGGCACCTGCCTCCACCCGCACTCCCCAGGTAGAGACTGGGGGCACCTGCCTCCACCCGCACTCCCCAGGTAGAGACTGGGGGGCACCTGCTTCCACCCGCACTCCCCAGGTAGAGACTGGGGGCACCTGCCTCCACCCGCACTCCCCAGGTAGAGACTGGGGGCACCTGCCTCCACCCGCACTCCCCAGGTAGAGACTGGGGGGCACCTGCCTCCACCCACACTCCCCAGGTAGAGACTGGGGGCACCTGCCTCCACCCGCACTCCCCAGGTAGAGATTGGGGGCACCTGCCTCCACCCGCACTCCCCAGGTAGAGACTAGGGGGTGGCACGTGTGTCTTTTCGGACAAAGATGCACTTGGCTCTTTAGACAAACACCCATGAGATTAGTGGGGACACCACCAGTTGTTATCTGTCACACGACACCATTAGCATCACACAGCAAGTCATCCGAACATCTCACCCAGGCGTAGGGACCCCAAGACTCCAAGTCGGGCTGCGACTGCCGGAGTGAGGATGGACGAGGACGGCAGGAAGAGAGGTGCGGACACCAGGTAAAAACCAAGTAGACACAGAGACAGAAAACAGGCAATACTGAACATCGTAACAACATTACTTCTGTTTTCATGATTTCTAGGGTCTCGTGGGCATTTGCAAAAGGAATTACGTCAGAATGGTAGCTGCCGTAAGTCCTGTAATGTTAACTAAAACTCTACGGCAAATGTCACTACCAGTCCTCAAATCTTCAGGGGCAGAGCTATGTCATCTCCTCGGAAATCTGCCTTTCGCCCCGGGGTCCCTGAGCCAGCAGAGCAGATTAAAGGCACCTTTAGTGCCCATGAAGTCTAGGAGTGACGCCATGATTTAGTTGTCATGGCGACTAACAAGCCTCTGCTCTCTGTGGTCCTTCAGTCAGAAAGGATGAACCGGGAATGAAGCAACAATGTATCACCGCAGCCAGAGGAAGCTTCACCCAGCAAGCAGAACTGCAGGCGCAGGTTAACCGGCTGCCCCCCCCCTTCACTTCCAAACACACAATGTTTCCAAATATAATTACGGATATTTTTGGAAAGTTTCAGGAAAAAGATGGTATTGTGTTTGTCAGCCATTAAGTGACAGTGATGAAGAGATTTCACCAGGGTGATGAAGGAGACGCAGCCCCAGGGATCCAGTGGGCCCCACTTCCCGCTCGGCAACCTCCGGCAGCTCCCCCAAAACATCACCGAGTGAGAAGTATTTTAACTTGTGGTTACTGGGCCTGAGACTCCAATTCAGGCGGGGAGCATGTGTGCAAACAGGACATGACTACGCGCCTGTTCCTTCACACCTGCCTGCACCCCACCAGCCACGCCCGGACGACGTCAGCAAGGTGTGGCAGTTGTGTGATGCGGACAAATGTATCAAAGCACTGTGGCCTCCAGCCTGGGAGAAAGACACAAAGGTGCCTATGCTCATGAGTGGTCTCCGCGGCAACAAGGAAACATCCCGCAGCTGCACAGGTTTTAAATAAGCACCTGGTCAGCTAGCTGTTGACCCCGAGGCTACAGGGACAACGAGGAGGCCGTGTGAAGGTGGGGATGAAAACGCAAAAGGCTTGGACACGAACTGAGCCATGCAGACCCAAGCACTCAGGTTACTGACCCTCAGGCTTCCGCGGCTACCCACGGACATTCTCTCATCTTCATCAGAGGCCTAGTGAGAGAAAGGGTGAAAGGGGCATGAAGCAACAATGTATCACAAACAAACCCAGGCCATGAAGCAACAATGTATCACAAACAAACCCAGGCCGGCTCCCGGTGGGAGGCGGCTGACCAGGCCCCACAGCAGGGGGCCGGAGAGGCAGCTTCGGAAAACCTCCAACCTCCAGGCCCTGAGCCGGAGCCCAGCCCCTCCCAGCACGGACTCTGCGCCTCAGTTTGCGGAGGGCTGTTTCTGGATGATGGGGATCTACATTAATTTCATTACAGTGCTGTTACCCACTTCGCTGGAGTCTACACCTACACAGGCTCAATGCGTATTACTCTGCGAAGCATCCATGGGTATGTGATAGCCAAGAAAGCATTAAAACTGTCATGGATATATTAATACTCAAATTTCTCAAACACTCTCCCCTCCCCAAAGTTAGGTCAAAATGCTAAAAGCTGAGTTCATTGCCTTTTAGGTAATAATATCAGTATCAGTTTCCTTAATAAACGCCACTGAGGTATACATACACAGACAGATATCACATACAGAGAGAGCTTTGCAGCCACTACAGACACATGCTTTCCGTCTACACCCCACGGAGGGAGGGAACAGTACTGACCGACGTGTTTCTCCTGGGTCTGCGTGAGTAGCGCTCGCTGTCTTCCTGCCGGAGCAACAGGAAACGCGGGAGTTAGTGACAGACGGGAGGAGGCCCGGCCAGCCAGCTGGGCCACAACACCGCATTTCCGATAGGGACAGAACACCTTCTTTGCCTTTGCTCACAGGCTTCAATGACAATGCCGGTGAGAAATGTTTTCTTCTACGGGGGGGCATTTAAACACACAAAATACTGGCATATCTCACGTTGGCTTTGAACACACGCGTGTGGTGGAGAAGGAGCTGCATCTTCACTTCTCTCTAACGGCTCAAGTCTGGTCCATTTCCACCCGCCCGCTCTTTCCCTCCCTCTCCTCGCCCCCGGGATCAGCTCAGAAATCATTTCCACGGCAGGGCCAATAAGGCCGTGGTCCTCCTGAACGTATTCCATGCACCTGGGGGTGCGGTTTCCGCATCGGGACATCCTAAGCACAGTGCTCACGGTGACAATCAGCAGTGTCTTCCTTTCTCAGGGGTGCAGAGAATGACACACCTTTTACCTGTGTCTTCGGATCAGGTGAATCCACCTGCCCCTCCACAGAAGCCGACGGGGACGGCCCCACACCGTAAAGGGCGAGGCTCACGTTTTAAACAGTGGGAGGGTGTGCTCTCTGTATTTCCAGGACAACTGCCTTTTCTATTCCATACGGGCACTAAGATGTTAGGAAGTGATCTTCCACTTCCGTAGGTTATTTTATGCATCAGGGATGTTTAACAGGACATTTCCACGCTGACCGGGTTCTCAGGTGCTAACGGGATGTGATAATGTCCAGGAGGCTGGTGACAAGGGGGGGCACACTCAGGTGCACGAGTTAATGGGAGGAGAAGCCATGTGCTCTCGGGACGGTGGGCAGCATCCAGGATGCACACTGTGGCCCCACATCCTCCTGGGAGGGCCAGAAGGACTGGGTGTCATCAGGGGTGAGCCAGCTCTCAGCTGACACAGGAGGACCCAGGAGCTGTTCCAGGAAACGGTACAGGAATGTTTTCACCACAGAGCAGTGGTTTCAGGGGCACAGCGGGCAGGTGGGGGCGGGGCGAACATCGGAGGCAGGTGAAGGTGGGGGGAGGGTGACTGGTCAGCTGACTGCAGTGGTGAGTGAAGGAAATGGAGCATAAGGTGACCTCTGGGCTCCGGCTGGGGAGACAGGCTGGCGATGGGAGAGTTCCCACCTGGGCACACGCCCAGCGCCAGGGTCCCTAGTGGCCAGTCCTCTGCCCCAGGAGGTCAGGGAGGGCGGCGGCCTCCGCAGACAGGGGCCTGGACACTCCGGGAGTCAGCTGCTGCTGAACTGACCAGACCCCGCGCCTGGCCAGGGCCCCGCTGACCAGGCCTCGGATGGATGCAGACCGCCAGGCCAGATGCGGAGACCCCGGCAGAAATCCTCTCAGTATTAAATTAGGCTGCAACAGGGATCTATTTATGTAATCAAACTGTGCAACAATCAAATTAAAAACCATGCAAGTTTCTCATCATCGTATTCAAGCCTACCATCCACTGCTCGATGTCACCCCATTTCGTAGACAGCCCGTAATATTTCTATAGACAGAGGGAGAGAAGGTTAGACAGGAAGGAAGTGGTGGGGACCGCATTCCCAAGCTGCTGCCCGAGCCACGGAGCGGGGAACACGCCAAGGCCAAGCGGTGACACAGACAGCGGGGCCCTGGACCCGCCTCCACCCCTCCCCTCTGCAGGCCCAGGGGCCCAGGACAATGAATTCCTGGGGCCCGGGGTGGCCCCTAGAGACCAGGGGGGGACCCCGAGCCCAGCAGCACCGGGAGCCCTCTGCACCGCCCGCAAGGGGAGCTGACAGCCGGGCCCAGGTCCCAGAGCAGGAGTGAGGAAACCTAGCGGCAAGGGGGCAGCTGTGCTCACCCCTGGCTCCCGTGCACGTCCCGGTACCTGATACCTACGCTGAATCTACGGACTGATGTCTTCATAGCTACAGGGGAGAGAGGCCTTTGTACCGGGAAACAATCCTGTTTGCGAGTCACACGCTGATTGTCTTTAGCCGAGGCCTCCACCTTCTACCTGGCCGGCCTAAACCAGGGCGGCCCAAGTCAGAGTGAGAACAACTGGATTCATGCCCTGGCCGGTTTGGCCCAGCGGTTAGAGCGTCGGCCTGCGGTCCGGAGAGACCCGGGTTTGGTTCCCGCTAAGGGCACGTACCTCGGTTGCAGTTTGTCCCTGGCCCTGGTCGGTCGTGCGGGTGGCAGCCACTCGATGTGTCCCTTTCACGTCGATGTTTCTCTCTCTCTCTCTTCCTCTCTCCCCCTCCCACTCTACCTAAACAAAAAATGGAAAAATGTCCTCGGGTGAGGATAAAAAAAGAACAATTGGATTCAGACCGGCTACTCCTGCTACTACATACAGTCCTTGCAAAGGCAGGGACACCCACCCAGGTAAGTTCACAGAACGGGGTTTTGCTTTTCCCCTCACTTTGAATTTCCCATTAGAACATCCAGGGACAACCAACCAAACCTCCGTGACACAGGTATGGTTTCCCTGTTCACAGTAAAATCTTAGAGTCAGGAGGAAGGGGTGAAGTGCGGCGTTGGGTTCGTCTCCGCTTCCTCGAAGGGTGGCCAGGTGTCCGTCTCCGTGGCCCTGCCCGTCCTTAGCGGCGGTGAGAGACCCGCCAGGGGACAAGCCAGGAGGGGGAACCTGATGCTTTCAACACTCAACCAACACAGCACTGAAGGCGCAAAAGCTCACGAGCCAGGTCTTTTTCTGTAAGTGACGTTCCTTAGACTAGACATTGAGACGGGAAGTAAAAGTGATCACTCCCCGGTCATGTTTTAACATTCAAGGAGGTGAAATGCAACAGCTTCAAGCTCCTTTGCATTCAGCTGGGATCAGCTCATGGGACTCTCCTGACCACGGCAGACAAGTCCCGTGCCCGCCGGCCGCGTCCTTTATCTCGCGGCTTAACCTGTTAACCGAGCGGGACGTATTTACACGAGTTCGCGCCCGTTATACGCTACGTCATTAAAAAGGGAATTCCCTGGTTAACAGGTTAATTACAGCGACAGAAGCGACGTGTTCAAAAAGGAGAAGGGCCTCCGTCAATTCACAAAGTACTATTTACGTTCCCCAAGAGGCCTCTGTGGTCAGTTGCCCTGTTCTGCTTTCTGCCGGCCCTGCATCAAGCCCCGCCTGCCCTCTCTTGCTCTTTCACTGTCACGAGAACCGGCTGCCGTACCTGCGCTGTACCCACGTCGCCCCGCGGGGAGAAGACCCCGGGAGCGAACGGTAAGTGCAGTAAGCCAGCCGTTTGACACTAGCTCGCAGGCCGCACAGCGAAGCCAGAGTGCACACCACACTTCAAGGGTGGACCAGGGGGTGAGCTGGGGGTCATGCAGGCGAGGGACAGCCAGACGGATGCACACGTGCGTCACTTTCAGAAATAGCTTTGATTCCACAGCAGAGAAACCGTCACTCAAAACAGCCCAGTGGGCTGGGAGCGAGCTGTTCCTGCCCCCCTCTCCTCGTTGTCTTAATGACCTTGAGCCACCTTTAGTATAAAAAGGTGAAAAGGTGTGTCTGCTTTCGCCCCAGGACTTGGTTCGCTCCGTGTACACATCACCGTTCTGGCAAAGTTCTCCTGGTGCGATCCTGGTGAGTTAGAAATGGAAGTGACTTCGATCTAGGACTAGCAATGAGGGAGTGAGTCCAAGTGGCAGCACTAGACAGCGTCTCTGGTCCGGGTTGGGGACAGTCAGGTCTGCACCGTCACACCCAGCGAGGGTTCCAGCCCTGCCTGCTACCTGCAGACACCCCGAGACGCTGTGTGTGTGACTCGGTGTGTATTTTAATTCCCAGACCCTACAGACACTAGCAAGGTGCAAACAGATGCTGGTGCCCACTTCACTGATGTCGTGCAGACGGGGGTGGGGCGGGCAGGGGAGGCCATTCGGGGCTGCAGTCAGCAAAGGAACCCGGGGCAGCATTGTAAATGGACTGGTGTGTTTCAGGGGCCTGCGCGGCCTAACCTTTGAAATTACGCTTAACTATTAGCTGCTCTAAAAGAACAATCTAGTTGTTCTTTATCCAGAAACTGAGAACGTTTATCAAAAGAAACTACCGTAGATGCCGGATGTAGCAAACTAAACCCATCTACGGGAAGGCTATGCACACCTTCTACAGACTCTCGGGGGGCCTCTCACTCCCCCCCGGCATTTGTGCGGAATCAGGGTCATTCCCTGGTGCTTCTGTCTTCAGTTTCTGTGACTGGCATGCTCAGTGCACTTATTTCTGAACCCCAGCTGCTTCTACAAAATCCTGGGATGCAGAGACACACGTTAGCATCTGAGGATCAGGGACAGGCAGGCTGACAGGAAGCTACTGGGGTTTATGCAGATCTTTTTCAATAGTGTGCAGTAATCTCTTAAAACATGGTCATTCGCACTGATGTTTTCAGTTTCCTAATGAAATTATATGGATCATCCTTCTCTTTAAGTATCTGGTTTCAAAGGGTTTCCCAAAGTCTGAAAGGTGACTTAATTTTGTCCTAGAATTCATTTTTTTTTCCCTCCTCAAAGAAAGAGCTTTCTGATTGCTTGAGGAAAAGGGCACCCCGTGCACAAAGCGTGGGAGGGAAGCTGCTATGCGCAGACGGTGAGGATCGCAACCGCAGACGGTGAGGATCGCAATCGCAGACGGTGAGGATCGCAACCGCAGACGGTGAGGATCGCAACCGCAGACGGTGAGGATCGCAACCGCAGACGGTGAGGATCGCAACCGCAGACGGTGAGGATCGCAACCGCAGACGGTGAGGATCGCAACCGCAGACGGTGAGGATCGCAACCGCAGACGGTGAGGATCGCAACCGCAGACGGTGAGGATCGCAATCGCAGACGGTGAGGATCGCAATCGCAGACGGTGAGGATCGCAATTGCATCCTCGCCCCACTCGGCTCCACGCCAGGCAGGGAGAGAAGCAGCAAGAACATGCATTTTCAGTGAAGGGCGTCATTTCTGAAAGGTGCCCACCCTGGGTACATGCAAATCCGCAAACCAAGGAGGGAGAGCCTACCTTTTGAACCTGATAGATCTAGAGACGGGCAAGAGAAACAGGAAGAGAAATAGAAAATCCAATTAAAAAGTAGAAACGTCAGAGAGAAAGGTTTTACATGTACCTAGAAATGTGAGTAAAAGCCACACCGGAGGGAAAAACCCGCGAATAATTGGCAAAGTATGAATTAAAAAACGTTGGCAGCCTCATCGAAAGAACAGGTCGTTGCATAGCTTAGTTCTGCAGCGGTCGGCGAGACTCGGCGGGGTCACCCGCGTCTCCCCTGCACCCCGCTGCCATCCTGCAGCAGAAGTCTGTCCGCCCTGTGCCGTGAACGGGAAAACGTGCTTCATCCTCGATTTCAAACCGTTTTCGCCGTGAGGAAAGTGTGACCAGAGGGTCCGAAACCTAACTGCAAGGCCACTGGCCGAGTTCACAGCCCGCGAAGAGAGGTGCTTTGGTGTCTCCCTCCTGCAGACACCAGGAGACCCCAGCTAGACACAGTGGTCCCTAAACTAACACAGACATCGCTGTTTTGAAAAGCTTACTAGCATACGTGGCCGTGGCAGCTGGCTTCGGAGGTGCGCCCTCCGTGTGGGGTTACCAGGCAGGCGGAGGTCGGCTTCCCTGCTCACCCCCGAAGCGTTCGCCGAGGCAGGCGCCGTCCAAGGCCCTGCCGATCTGCGGGCCAGAACCCGGGCGTGTGCAGTCCTGCCTGGCGAGCACAGGTGAGCATGCTCCACACTATGACTGTTACACACGGGGCCTCCCACAAACCGTGTATCCGGTCAGCGGCCACGGAGAAGGTGAACCCTGGTCATCGAGTCACCTGGTGGTCGGACTGTCACAGTTTCCATTAGGTTCTCACAGGAAACAGAAGGTGCACTTGGATTTCCCAAAAATATCTACATAGCTCCGCCCTTCACGGGTCCCCATCACCCCTTCAAACAGCCCCCAAAGCACAGCTAAGGAGGTCAGTTCTGAACAGGTGATGAGGCCCATTATGGAGGTGCAGTGGTGACTATGGGGGTTTGGGGGTGAGCGGGGGTCTGGGGCTGGTCGGCGGTCGGATGGACCCACAGCCAGCTCCCGGCCCCTGGTCCTCAGGGTCTGCTGGGGCTTGGGGACAGGTGCACAGTCCTCAGACAGCAGACCTCTTTGCTCACCTCTCCTCTCTGCACGTTCTCCATTCCGGCCCCAGTGTGGCTTCTACCACAACCCACTTTGGGAACCCCCAGACGGTGTCAGCAGCTCCCTGGTTTCCTGAGCCCCAGGGCGGTCCCTGCCGCTCCAGGCATGCACAGGCCCGGCCACTGCCGCCGAGCTGACCTCCTCCTCCAAGCCCTCGTCCTGCTCGGAAACTCCGGCTGGAGGCGGACGGCTCCCCACCAGAGAAGACAGATCCCATTCTCAGTTTCTACACCAAAACTCAGCCCTTCAGGTTCAACACCGGCTTTACAAAGCATCCTCTTTCCCACTTCACCAACCACCTGAAATGCCAGTGCCCCGGGCTGTCAGGCTGTGGCACCTCTAACGTGCGACTTCTGCGAACAGGCCCAGAGACACGGTCTGGAAGGCAGGCCGAGAGCTGTGGGCTGTGCCCCTTCCGAAATCCTACAGCACATCCCCAACCCTGAAGCTCAGACCCCCTCGGCCCGTCTCGCTCTTCCCTCCGGGTGCACGTGCAGACGCCATGCACGGGCAGGTGTGCACGGTGCACACCTGTACACTCCCCGCCCCAGACACAGCCAGGCGAACACACACGGCTCCCGTGTTCTCTGCGAGCCGCTGGCAGATAAACCCCTCCTCTGTGCCGACCCCCGGCTCTCCAGCAGCGCCAGGGGACCCTTCTGCAGGGCGGCTGCAGGTACCCACCCCGCCCGCCCCTCGGCGAACGCACTGCTCTGCCCTCGGCTCTGTCGCTGTCACCTACAGGACGCGCTGAGTTTGAGGCAGAGGGCAGACCGGGCAGCCCAACCGCGAGCTTTGCGGCTTTTCAGATCTTGATTCGAGTCTGGGCCGTTTCCTTAGATGTGGGCAAAGCCGTCCAGCTCTCTCGGGCCCGGTTTCCTCACCTGTCAATAGAACGCCCCTCACAGACTGTGACAGGCCCCAGCAGGTCCCCGTCCCCCTCTGCCCCACCCGTTCTCTGGGATTAGGAATGAAAGGCACCTGCATTTTCTCTAAGACCATCCTGCCCCGTCTGAAGCAGCAGCGCTCGCTCACCGCGGAGACCCTGCGGCCCGAGAGCGAAGTTGTTGCCTGGGCACCTGCCCCGGCCACGAGCCCCCGGAGAAGCTGGGCCTCCGCCCCCCTGTGCCCCTGCCCGCTCTGCTCCCACTTCCCGGGTTCTGCCTGGCTTCCCTGCTCCGCCTGTGGCTGCCTTTCTGCAGGGTCCCCCGGCGGTGCCCACTCCTCTGCCTCCTGAGCGCCCGCAGAGGGGGGCTGGTCACCAGGCCGGCAACCTGACCCGGGGGGTCGGAGTCAGCCTTCACGGGGTCACCACGGCCTGTCCCTGAGGAGAGGGAGCACAGTGCACACAGGACAGAAAGTGCTGCGACCTACGGCGCTGTCCCACAGGAAGGCCACGCTCCCCTCCCCCCCCACAGCTCAACCCCCTACGCGGAACCCGCCCCGCGTCTCGGAGCACCCTGCTGGGTAGCTGAGTGCCCAGAGGACCCAAATCACCAAGCTGCCTTCTGGGGGACAGTCCATGGACTTGATCACGACCAAGCCTTTGATCCCTGTGTCCCTACGATAGAAATAGTACCCGCCGTGACAATGAAGAGTTTCAACACTGCACCACCATCCACTGACCAAACGACACTGCGTGGATGGCCGAGCAAGGCTACGGTGGCATTTTTAACTGGATTTCCCAGGTTTCAACCAGATTTTCTCTGCAGAGCCCAAGATGCTTAGCAGGTACCAGACACCCGAGGGCCGGCCACGCGGCACAAGACCTGGGCCCTGAAACCCTCAGGGCCTGGTCGGTCTGGTGCCACCACCCGCTGCCCTGCCGCAGGGAAGGCTAACTCCTTGGAGCCGTCCTGTGTGACAGCCACTGAGGCCACCTCCCGCCACCCACCCCTCGCACGCTACCAAAACCCAAGGGCCACGACTCAACAGGCAGGACTACTGTCAGGGTGTAGAACTGAAATGAAACAACTTCCTTGACTCAGAGAGACAGGGCCGGGGCTTAAAGGAGGCCATGCGAACACAGGGTCTTGTTAATTCCTCTTCCCTTCTACTCTCTAAGTCAAGAACTTGGCAAAGAACTTAGCAAGAACCTGCATAGGTTAAATCAATTCTGTGCATAATTAAGGACAAGATACATGTTATCAACGTGTAATTTGGAAGACAGATATGTGCACTCATACATTGTAATTCATTTTCACTTTGATGTTGTACAAATGTTACATTTCTCTTCCTGGTGAAAGTCACTTTCTCTCAAATGTGAGAAAAGCTATAAAACGAGGACTAACACCAAAGGCAGGACCCCTTACAGACTTGCTGTCCCCCCTTCCCGCGCCTGCTGGTTCAGCTCCAACAGCAGAGCTCAGGGGGTCACAGGCCCCCGGGCATCCTTACAAACAGGGGGGAGGGCAGGGCCAGGGTTAACAGTCAGCTGCAGCAAAACCCGGCACAGCGGCAAACGGGGAAATTCTTCTTACAGCTCTTTTAAGACCTTGATAATGAAAAAGACTGGGGGCCGATGGAGAAACTGGAAAAGCCAATTCAAACCATGAGCCGCTAGGAGGGTGGGAAACCAGTTGCTGCCGGAAAATGAGCAACTGCCTCCACAGAAGGTGAGCGGCCTGGCCCTGGCCGGTTTGGCTTAGCGGTTAGGGCGTCGGCCCACAGACCACAGAGTCACAGGTTTGATTCTGGTCAAGGGCACGCACCCCAGTTGCGGTTTGTCCCCGGCCCTGGTTGGGGTCATGCAGGAGGCAACCAATCAATGTGTCTCTCTCACATCAATGTTTCTCTCTCTCTCTCTCCCTCCCACTCCATCTAAAGATAAATGGAAAAATATCCTTGGGTGAAGGTGAGCAGCTTGAGAAATGGGCCACTGCCCACCATGTGAGCACCCTGACCCTGATGCCCTCAGCCTGAGCACCCCGACCCCGATGCCCACCACGTGAGCCCCTCAACCTCAATGCCCTCCTCCTGAGCACCCGACCCCACTACCATTCTGATTTCCAAAACAGAGGGGAGGGTCTCCCAGTATCCTGCAAATATCTACTGAAAGAACAAAAATATTCAAGAGACACTGACACCAGGCAGTCTGAAAGGCACTTTGTCATTTAAAACATCTATTATTAAAATCAAGTTCAGGCTAAATGAACTCTGCTTTCGGGAAGCCTCCAACGACTGCGATTTGTACCCAAGTCCGGTGGGCAGACGTGGTGTCAGAATGGCTCCCATAGCACAGGTGACCCTGTCTCGGGTATGTGACAAAGGTCTGTTACACAAAACCTGCGCTCTCTCTCACGTCCTGGCCCAAATACTTGTCTCTGAAAATGCTTCTTTGAATGACCCTCGAGAGCCACTCTGGGGCCGAGGTCACGGACGGTACTGAGCCAGGTCCCGGCCTCGCGCTGAGCCACGACAGCGCCAGGGAGGTGCTTCCGGAGGGCTATCAGGCCTCAGGAAGTTTCAAAGTCCAAATCATGACCATGAAAATTCCGGAGACTCTTATTCCAATTTTAAAATGATCCATGCAGTTCCAGCGGAGGGCACCGAGCACATGCCACCCCTGCGCTTCCTCCCGTAAATCAGAGAAAAGCGCAAACACAGAGCACTAGAGTAACTCCGGCCGCAAATGTGCACGCGGGAACCTGCCCACGACTGCGTTTGTCCTTCCAACAACCAAGGGAGTGTGGCGACCTACTTTCCAGCACGGTTCAGCCTGTATCTGCACAGAAACACGGGACCGGTGACACCTAAAACTCAGACACGTCCCAACAACGCTGGCATGGCCGTGGCCTCCCCTGGGGTCCCTGTCACCGTAGGGGCTGCCTGTGGCCCTGGCCCTCCTGTCACTGAGACTGTGGTATAACTCTTCTGACCAATGTCCTGGGCTTGAGTTTCTTCTATTTATTTATTATTTTAATTTAATTAATTTATTTTTGTTACAGATGTTTCTCCTTTTTCCCCCACTGATACCCCCTCCCTCACCCTCCCCGCCCTGTCCCCAGCTTTGTTGTCCATGTCCACTGTTCATGCATACATGCATATAAGTTCTGTGGTTTATCCTCCCACCCCCTTTTCTGGGGATTGTCAGTCTGTACCCCACTTCCACGTCTCTGGGTCTACCCCATTCCTCAGACTGTTACGTTCATTATATTCCACAAATAAGTGAGATCATGTGATACTTGCCTTTTGAGTTTCCAACTATCCTCAACCTATTGCTCACACCATGAGGTAGCGTTTCCTTCCCCAAACTCACCTCTGGCCCCCCCTCCCCCGTGCCACACTCCACAGCGAGTGACAGACCCTACAGGCAGAGCGTGGCCTGAGCCACCGGTGGCCGGGCCTCACCTCACAGGGAAGCAGTGGAATCTGCCACCGTTTTAAGTGAAACTGGAAATCCAGGTTTTTCCCGAAATCTCACAAGTTTTAAAACTTTGGCTGGACTTTTCAATGTTGGCTGCGTGAGCCAAGTGAGCGTGTGTACACAAACCAACCTGGGAAAGGCAGCTGGCCGACTCTCTCCGGCACACTCAATTCAAACCCCTGCATGTCCTCGCAGGGCGTGGCCCACAGGAGAGCAGGCCCCGGAGAGGGACTCCCTCCTCCCCCCACCACTCAAGGGCATGGAGCCCGGAAAGCTCCCAGCTCCGACTGCCAGGTAGAGAGCCCTCAGCGGTCTGGCCGCAGCTCAGGATCATGAAAATAAGTAGCAAACACATTAACAGGTGTGTAAACACATCCCCATGTGCTCTGGCAGGGGGCAGTCTCCGCCCCGCCCTCTGGTCCAGGCTCCAGGCTTCAGGAAACCTGTCAGAAAGCGTCAGCACCACAGGGGACCGTTTTTAAATGAAACAGCTTAGTTAGTATAAAAACAACCGTCTGTTCTACTTTCACACTTTAATTCGGAGGGTCAGGGTCCTTGCTCAGCAGTAAGACCCTGAAGTTCAGAGCCAGAAAGCCGGGCTGGGAGGCGCTGTGCAGGCCGGGGGCTCTGCCCAGATCCCCCAGGTTGGCGTCGGGTCGCACGTCCGGCATCCCCGCTACGCACCCTCCCGGCCCGACCTTGAACAAGAGGCCCAGGCACAAGCGTGCCCTGACCCTGAGCTACGTCAGGCGGGCGGTGCCTCCGCACTCACACGCTCCACCCGAGAGGCACACGCGGCGGACAGAACCCAGGACGGCCCCCGGCGTTACCTCCTTCTGCTGCCGCTCCAGCTCCTTCATCCTGATCTCCCGGGCCTCCGCACGGGCCGCTCGCTTCGCCGCCAGCCTGGCCTCCGCCTGAAACACACCGCACATTGTGTCAGAAGAGGCACCTTGCAAGTCAGTTAGCACGGCTGCTGTTGAAAGGACACCTTGTTGGAGGTTCATAGATATACAGGAAGCATCGCACACTTGGACGAGTTAAAAGGGTCAACAGCAGTAGCAGTTACAAGGAGCCATGACTGCTGCCCATTATGGGCCCAACTAATCGCCGCGGCCCGTTTCAAGGGCTCTAGCTACATTATGCCGTGTGCTCCTCACAACAGCTCTCCTAGGCAGACACTGTTACCGCCTCCAGGTCACGGATGAGGGAACGAAGACACAGAGAGGGAGGAACTTGCCCAGGGTCACACAGCCCGTGAGCGAGTGGCAGGGCTGGGCAGCCTGGCTTCCTCCGGGGCTACGACAGACTCGCGCACGAAGCTCAGCATCCGAGCAGGACGGGCCCGGGTCGCTGGGCCACCCCTCCCCTCAGAGCAGGGAGCAGAAGCTGGGAGAGGCTGGCAGGCACGTCAGGTGCGGGGCCGGGACTCTGACCCACTTCCAGGACCCCTGTCCGGTCACCTCTCACCACGCCCTGCTGGCCTCAGCTTCCCTGCAACACCTGCAGGGCCCGGAAGCACTTTTTCTCAAGGTCAAGACCAGAGCTGTTAGAAGCGTTACATTAAAACACACACACACACACACACACACACACACACACCCTGCAATTGTGGCTCTTCTTCCACACTCTGCTGAGAGCACGGAAACCACCCGGCCAGGGCCGAGCAGCCGCCACACCTGGCGCTCGAACCCGTGACACACAGCACAGTCTCACACGTGTTCACCCGATGCTCGAACCCGTGACACACGGCACAGTCTCACACGTGTTCACCCGGTGCTCGAACCCGTGACACACGGCACAGTCTCACACGTGTTCACCCGGCGCTCGAACCCGTGACACACGGCACAGTCTCACACGTGTTCACCCGGCGCTCGAACCCGTGACACACGGCACAGTCTCGCGCGTGTTCACCCGGCGCTCGAACCCGTGACACACGGCACAGTCTCGCGCGTGTTCACCCGGCGCTCGAACCCGTGACACACGGCACAGTCTCGCGCGTGTTCACCCGGCGCTCGAACCCGTGACACACGGCACAGTCTCGCGCGTGTTCACCTGGCGCTCGAACCCGTGACACACGGCACAGTCTCGCGCGTGTTCACCCGGCGCTCGAACCCGTGACACACGGCACAGTCTCGCGCGTGTTCACCCGGCGCTCGAACCCGTGACACACGGCACAGTCTCCCGCGTGTTCACCCGGCGCTCGAACCCGTGACACACGGCATAGTCTCGCACGTGTTCACCCGGCGCTCGAACCTGTGACACACGGCACAGTCTCGCACGTGTTCACCTGGCGCTCGAACCCGTGACACATGGCACAGTCTCACACGTGTTCACCTGGCGCTCGAACCCGTGACACACGGCACAGTCTCGCGCGTGTTCACCTGGCGCTCGAACCCGTGACACACGGCACAGTCTCACGCGTGTTCACTCGGTGCTCGAACCCGTGACACACGGCACAGTCTCACACGTGTTCACCCGGCGCTCGAACCCGTGACACACGGCACAGTCTCACACGTGTTCACTGCTTCAGGGAGGTGAGTGGCGCAAGTGTGTCCAGGTCCTCGGGTGTCGGGCAAATTCCACCTCCTTCCCACTTAATTTTTCGGGGCCACACTTGTAATCTCCTCCAGTTCCACAGACACATTCTCCAGAGGTCGCACTGTTCCCTGGATAATCTTAAAGTGGGGCCACAGGGGACGGCCCCTGGCCCGGGTGTGGCCAGTGGGTCAGCAAGGGTCCGGTCAGGCAGCGTCTCCCCAGCGGCGGGCCCCGCACAGCAGGCTCACGGCAGGACGGCAGGGCCCGGGGTCGGGGACGTCCATCACCCCGCCCCAGGCTCGTACTAAATTAAAGAATCATCTTTCTAAATTCTAACCTAAGTGGAAAACTGACCCCAGCTGGGCAGTCAGCAGCTGGCTGGCTGTGTCCTCGGAAGGCATTTATTCCACAGCTTGGCTTGTTCGTGCGGTTCCTTGAACAATCCCAGCCCAGGTCCTTCCGGTCAAGGTGTCAAAACCACAGCTTTGTCAAACGTGGCTTCCTCGTGGCCACTTCCAGTTTCCTGAAGACCGGGTGAGGGGCGAAGCGGAGGGGAGGGCGGAGAAGGCACATCAGACGGGCGAAGTCCAGGGTGCTTCGTCCAGCCCCACGGACGTCAGCGAGGATGCCTCACCCGCGGGCAGCCGCCCCCAGCAGCCTGCTGGCTGAGTCAGACCAGACCACAGCCCATCGGGGGGTGGAAGGAACTGGGGGGCCTGGGGCAAGAGAAGGGAGGGCATGGAGGAAGAAGGGGATTGAGAAGGTAGGAAAGAGGAGGGGGCTGCCAGAGGGGGCAGAGGGAGACAGGAGTAGCAGGGGGTTTGGGGGTGGTCCTGAGAGTCCCGCCCCTGGAGTCCATGCCCCACGTGACCGGCTCCTCATTTTTTTTTTTTTTTTTGGTACGTGCCTCTAATGGGGAACCGAACCCAGGACTCTGGTCCGCAGGCCAACGCTCCAACCGCTGAGCCAAACCAGCCAGGGCCATCGGCTCCCCTTGAGCGTGGCCCCGCTGCAGGTGTGATGGGGCCACGTCTGACTGGGCCACAATACACGGCAAAGAGAAAGGCACACACAACGAAGGGCCCTCATTAGCTGACTCTGAGTCACTCAGCAGGGTATTCTGGGGGGCCCTGAGCGGTCAGGGGAGCCCTTTGAGAAAGAGTCCGAAGTCAGACCCTGCTGCTGGCCTGGGAGAAGCAAGCTGCCACGTGGGAGAGGCCTGTGAGGGGCCACGCGACAGGGAATGTGGGCGACCTCAGAGCTCGAGCACACCCAGCTGGTGGCCACGGGAAAGGGGGGTACAGTCCCAGAACAGCACGGAGGTGAGTCCACACCAACGTGTGAGCTCGGAGGAGGACCCTAGGTCTCGAAAGGACATGGCCCGCTCACCTTGAGTGCAGCCCTGGGAGGCCCCGAGCAGAGGACCCAGCTAAGCTGTCCCAGACTCCTGACCACAGAAACAGTGTAACAGACACGTGCTGTTCTAAGCTGTGAGGTTTGTTACGTAGCAACAGGGAACTAAGACAAGGAGGTGAGGTGACAGGACTCCTGCTCGCACAGCGAGTGTCCCTGTGGCCCGAGGACAGCGAGCGGCGGCCTGCCCAGCCCCCCCCCCCACTCTGGCCTGGCTGTGCTGAGGGCACAGTCCTTGAAGAAGGGACCACTGTCGTGCATGCAGTCCTGCTACCTAGGGTGGTCTCCGAAGTACTGTCCCAACAGACCTCAGCTACCCAGGACACGGCTCCTGCCACGGTCCCCCATCCACTCTGGTCCTCATGTCCAGTCCGACATGCCTGTCCCGTCCCTGAGGACAACCCGATTTGAAGGACACAGCCTTGGCTTGATAAAGAAACCACATGGCCCTGGCCGGTTTGGCTCAGCGGTTAGAGCGTCGGCCTGCGGTCCTGAGAGACCCGGGTTCGGTTCCCACTAAGGGCACGTACCTCGGTTGCAGTTTGTCCCCGGCCCTGGTTGGTTGTGTGGGTGGCAACCACTCGATGTGTCCCTTCACATCGATGTTTCTCTCTCTCTCTGTTCCTCTCGCTCCCTCCCACTCTACCTGAACAAAAAAATGGAAAAATGTCCTCGGGTGAGGATAAAAAAAAAAAAAGAAACCACATGAACAAAACAAAACTATAGAATACATTCCTTGAAGGAGGATCAGCTGTGGTCCACGGATTAGAATTCAGAGAGGAGGCACATTTGCAAACAATTCCAAATCCTTGCGATCGCCACCACATGAAGTGCCCACCGGAGTCTCGTGTGACTCGTGCGTGGACAGCAAAGTGCTCACGACGTGGGAAGAGGTAACGGTCATGCCTGTGGCCTCCGGACCACTGAAAACCAGCGGCTCTGTGGGTCCGTGTTCCGCTGGAATGAAATCTGTGCACAGCCGGCTCCATGAGCCTGAGACGATCATCCAGCAGGAACCCGACACCAGCCTGTGGGCCTCAGGGAGAAGCTGGAGCCCTCACGGTTCTCCCTGAGACACGCCGCTGCCCAGAGCCCAGCACAGCCTGGCACGGAGCACAGGAGGCGATGGCCACGCACAGATCACTGCGAAGTCACCAGATGTCTGACGTGACCAAGTCATTACATGAGCAAAAAGTACAAAATGGCAACGGTCCGCCTTGGTGATGCGCGAACATGAATCCATCCCCCCAACACGTGTGTGAGCCCGGCCCTGCCCTCAAGCTCCCACCGCCCAGGCCGCTGGGCCTCTGCTCAGTGCTCCTGCGCTGCAGAACCCACCGCCTCAACACTTTCAAAACATACACGCGCAGCTGCGGTCACAGCCCTGTCGGAGGTTTGAGTTTCCAAATGCTTCCTGTCGCTTTCTGTTGTTGGTTTGCAGGGGACCAGCTCTCATGGCCATCACCAGCCTAGGCCACTGGCCCAGGACACTGGCCATCACCAGCCCAGGCTACTGGTCAGGCCACCGGCCATCACGGCCCAGGTCACCAGCCATCACTGGCCCAGCCACCAGCTATCACCAGCCGGCCATCACCAGCCCAGGCCACTGGGCAGGTCACCGGCCATCACTGGCCCAGCCACCAGCCATCACCAGCCGGTCATCACCAGCCCAGGCCACCAGCTGGCCCCAGCCTGGCCACATGAACTCGCGGGTCTGCCTGAGGCATCTGGGAAGAACTTCCCAAGGACCGGCTGAAAGTCCCGGGATGTAGACACAGCAACTGGTGACCATGTACAAGTGTCAGAAGGCTCCCTGGAGCACAGGGGCCCTAAACCAGGCCCCGAGGGGCACAGAGGGGAGCGCCAGGGCCGAGCAGTTGGGACCAGGGCACACGTGGGCGGGAAGTCCCGGGGCCTGGGGTCCAGGCTCCGTGCTCAGCTCCTGTCTCCGGAACGTCATCTC